GTAGAATTAATAGTTACTTGATGTAACTTAAGTTCTACGAATAGGTGCGTAGTCCCTTAGCTACGAGCCCATCAGGCCAGCCCGGCTTGGCAGAGTTCAAGAGGGGGTGCGGCCTTGTGCAGGGGCATTTATAGAGGAAGGTGGCTGGTGATTGGAGCAAATTATTTTGATCTCTCTGGCGTGTGACCTGGGGGTCACGAGTGATATCCCACTAGCGAAGTCCTAAGGGACTACGCACCTATTCGTAGAACTTAAGTTACATTAAGTAACTATTAATTCTGAGATCCAAATCAGTCAAAAACTGCTCATAGATTCAGTATTATTTATCAGTATTGATACTTTCTGAAATGTGTATCTAGTTTCAATAGTCACGCTTTTTGATGCAGCTCGTTTGAACTTGACAAAGTCTGAATCAGTGTAGGAAAAATGAAAAAAATACAAATTAAAAAGTGGACACATCTTGTTTGGTGGTCTTATATCCGCATATATAGTATTATTGCCCCAAGTGAACCAAAATGGGTAGTTACGGTGATTAACTTGCCAATCTTTTCACGTCATATTAATTCTTTCAGAACTGATTCTGTGGTAAATCCCATTGTCCCAACCAGGACTAGTGTTTACTGGTATCTTCTCTCTATCTTTAAAACAATGGTTGTCTCTCATTGAACCGCAGCAGCAAACTATCCCTTTTACATGTACACCAAATCCAGCCCTAACCACAGAAAAACAAACTATGCTAAAATACCAGCGTTCTATTATACAGCAGCGCACCAAATCTGTATTGGAAAGCTAGTCATAGAAAGTCACTGGTTTGGAAAGAAACATTGCTTTAGAGGAGTAAGGAGTGGTGCTGGCAAACCTCTGTGCCCATAAATTGCAGAGTTGACAGACACAGCTGATGGTAAAGTAAAAGGAGCCTTTCTAAAATATCATCACACGACTTTCTCTAACTTGTCAGGGATAAACCTGTTCTTGTTATGAATGAATAACACAGATTCAGACCTGTAATATTCTCTAACATGTAAATTAAAATGCTGATACATCATGAATTGTTCAAGTTATCCCATTGATCACAGCCAAGATTCTCCTTTGTTAGTCTTTTTCCCCTGAAGTCTCGCTACGTAACCTTTCTGTTGAGCAGTAAGACGCCATTTATGTAATTCCTTTGCCTAGAAAGTTCTGTGGTAGGCTTTAAAGCATGTATTTATTTTAATTTTGAGGAAATATGAAAGAATAGAGATCAATCATTATATCACACTTTCTAGGACCTTCATCCATCATTGGCCAATGACAAAATCTAATCCTGGTAAGCGTTATCTCAGTCTGCAAGCAAAATCATATAAGATATATGTGAAATCAAATGAAATAAAAATAAAGATAATAAAAATAGAAAAAGATTAAACATATAATAAAGCTAATAATAACAAAACAAAATTATTATTATTATTATTATTATTAATGATGATGACAAGACAGACAGCCACACAACTCTTCTGTCACCTTCAAACTATATAAACATTCTAGAAACGAATGCAGATTAGACAAAGGAATAATTGCTTGTCTAGTTTCACTTTTTCACTGTCCCCTGTTCTGTTGTATGTGTGATGTCACTGCCTCTGTTTAGTCTTGTATGTGTGATGTCACTGCCTCTGTTCTGTCGTATGTGTGATATGATTACATTGTAGATAATATGCCTATACATACTGCTATTCAAGCACAAAGCTAAGAATACCATCGCCCCTTTTTTGAAAAATGACCTTTGCCGGCACAAAACACATATTGTTCCACTGTTTGAGTCATCAGACGTGCATCTCCACATTTCACTTTTTTAATTTCCCCCCTTGAGAAAAAGTCCCTGCAGCGGTGATTGACACGCGGTATTAAAAGTGACTGGCTTCTGTACTCTCGTGGTTTTCCATTGCTCAATTTCCTCTGGGCTTGAACGCGATTGGCTGATTTTTCGTCCTCATTTAGAAGGACCATCTTTCTTCCCTCAAGCCTCAATTCCTCACTTTCCCAGGGTGTTCGTACACTACATGTCACAGTGCTTAGTGTAACGGCGATGAATGGTGACAATGTGCCGCTGGCGAATTGAAGACAGACACACTTATTTGTTGGCCAAAATGGATTCAAACGTCTGTGAAACCTGTGATGTGGTTGTCAAACACTCCACAGCCATGGAAAATGCAACCCAGTATTCCATTCAAGTGTTTATTAAATGAGTGTTTTCTATGGAACATTTGTTGTTATTAGAAAAGTAATTATTGGGAAGGACTAATAGTAGTCACAGAAATATCATACAGCTTAATTTTCTTAATTTTATGGAGTTTGATTCATGGTAAATTCAAGAACTATTGTTTACATTAAGGAACTTTCAGAACAGCACAAACTACTGAGCTAGGGTACCTAACTTTTTGATCCACTATAATCCAATTAAATTCAATTTAATTGCGTGTAGCCTGAAATCACAACAGCAGAAGACACCATTCGGAGGACTTTATAACGTTGACAATTAACCAACAACAGATCAAAGAATCAAACATATAGGAATAATAGAAACTGAAATAAACACATAGGAGCCATTGGTCCATAGGGAGCAGGATGACCATAAAAGTTAAAAAGTGTCCGTAAATGTCATAAATATACCGGATCATCACTGTCCTCACACCTTCCTGCATCTGCGAGGAACCCCTCAAACAGTGGCAAAAAAGTGAGAAACCTCTGGAAGGCCCACAGTGAGAGAGGATCCACTCCCTCAGGCTGTAGAACGAGAACTAAGGCGGAAAACATTTACTGTCTGATACAACCAATGTTGTTCCTGAATCTAAAATAGTTCGGTTCTATCACTAGTTGCCACATCTTCAGATCAGCTTTTCCTGACAGAAAAATAGAGGACCACCCTCACTCAGCCAATCAGTACATACAGTACATTCTAGTCAGATGAAGACAGCATAGCCTGATTTGTTCAAGATTTTACCATTACAAAACAGTTTCTACTGGGACAAACATTTACAAAGAAAAATTGGTACCAATCCTTAGTCACAACTTCTACAGCAACAACACAAACTCTTATAGAAATTCCAATTAAAACAGAATGATAATAATTTCTTTAGAATAATTTTATTTCACAAACACTTATTAAGAGGAATAGCTTCTTGAGATGTACAACATTCAACATTTCAGAAAAATAAAGACAATAACGACAATTGTAATAGAAATTCTAATAAAGACATGACCATAGTTTTTTCTTAACAGTACTTTTACTTTAGTTTAAAAACAACTTTTCAGAATAATATAAAGTGCTTTTCCCCTATTTGGCCATATGTTGTAGTAATCTCATATGTTGGTATTGTCATTTTCATAAAGTTGCCCTTGGCGGAGTAGGCATTGTGCATCTGGCATCTGGAGCAGCAATCTGGAGCACAGCACCCGACGACAGGCCATCTCTCTATGTATTAACATGAATACAAACACACTGAAGTTAACCTGTTCGCGCTCTCAGTATCAAGCACGCCACACGTCTGGACACATGTTTGGGCCAACAGCGCGTCACTTTAAAGAATACAGCTGGTGCGGAGCAAAACGCAAAACTCAAGTCGACAATGCAAACTGGAGTTGGACAGAAAACAGCTGCAGCGATAATCCACGCTCAGCCAAAGTGGACAAACGAGGTGCACGTGGATCACAGTGAGGCCAGTTTGACAATGAGGAGTCCAAGTAGATGTGTTTATGGAGGAGGGTGCTAATGAGACCACCAAGGGATGTGGGGGTGGTTTGAGATGGTCAAATGAGCTCTACAATAACATCCGACGTCCGTCCTCTCAAAATAACAATTATCAGATTTCAAAATTAAACGCATCATTGAGTTTAAATACTGTAGTTATTTATGAGCTGTATTCTTAAAAAATCTGTATGGAAAAGATCTTTTTTCATTACTGATTTTTATTTATTTATTAAAAACATATTTTTGGACAGTTGGGACACTTGTAAACAGACATGAGGGATGTTGCCAATTATGTCACATTTGATGAAAGTGAAGGTCAATTATTTTTCAAATTGCAAGCGCCAGTTAGACCCACCTCCACAGGCTTCTGATTGGACGCAATAAATTAAAATCCTTGACAGCTGAGGCCCCTCACAATTGCTTCAACTATTTAAATCTTTATGTGATGCTTATTTCAAGAGGAGGGACAATTTTAAATATATGTATTTAAAAAAAATAAACTTAATATTGATGATTTGTCAGGGTCATATGGTCAAAAATGTGCATTGTTTCCAAGATGTTATACAATTGAAGTTGCAGACATTACCTTTTAGGACTTCAATTAAAGTGATAGTCTGTAACTCTAAATGAATTACAAATTTTAAGAATTGTAGTAAACTGACCTCCTGGCCTTAAATGTTGATATAAAATAAGTAATTTTATTAATTCTATTATTACAGGTAAGTCCCGCCTTCCCTGCTCTTAGCTATAGCTCAGAATCCACGGTGCCGTCCACGTTAACCAACCAAGTGATGCCAAGGGCTGTCAATCATCAGCGCTAATGCTTGTAGCTGCGCGCATGCTCAGTTGTTTGTTTTCAGAAAGGAAGGGGGAGGGAGCTTGGGCCGTTTTTTACCTCTCTCTCTGTCTTTCTGACAAACTGCAGACAATCTCTTTAAGACAGAGATCTGTGCTAATAGCCTTTCTCACATAATGACTAATAGAGTTCACTTTTTTTTCACTTTTTTTCCTCATTCCAAGCAATTAATGTTTTGTTTAATGCTGGTAACTGTCCTCATTTCTCATCATAATGATAAAGTACCCATCATTAAGAACCAGTTGTTATTATTAAGAAACTGTAGACATCTGATAACATCATATCCCAAATAAAAAGCCCCCGATGCCTCTGTTGTTTTTCTTTCTTTTCCTTAATAATGTGTGTCCTCTGATAACTTGCAGCGTTGCATTTTATGACACAATTTCCAAGATGTCTTAAATGTGTCCATGTCTCTCCCAGGGTCCTCCAGGCCGACCCGGTATCCCTGGCTCAGACGGCGTGCCGGGGCCTCCAGGTACCATCATGATGCTGCCTGTAAGTCCACTTTTAACACTCCAACACCCTATGCTTTACGTTATAGCTCTTTACCCCCTTCATGTTCGGCACTGGGCCATGTATGCCACCTCATTACCGACTTTTACCTTATGGCATCATCACAAGCCAAGGGGCTTTTTGACTCTATTTTCTTTGGGTTACAAATCCCTGGGCTTGTAAATGTCAGCCAGTGCATTGGAGTGGAACCATTGACTGTGGCCTTGAAATGCCTGTGACACACATTTGCTGTATGCTGATGCTGACAGGTTAACAGTGTTTAAAGAGAGTTTGAATGCAGTCCTGAACAGAGAATATGTCACACTTTTGTGGAATTAATGTGTTGTCTGTTTTGTTTTGCAGTTCAGAGCTGGTGGGGAGTCCCATAAAGGCCCAGTGGTGTCTGCACAAGAAGCCCAAGCTCAGGCCATTCTGTCCCAGGCCAGGGTAAGCATGCATTTTTATCAAGACTTCATTTGGGTTTTTAATTGCAGTTAAACTGCAAAAAGTAACATAAAATAAGTCAACATTTCTTGAATTAGGCCAAATATGTCTTTATTATAAGAACATTTAGACCGTCCATGGGACAAAATAAGTGCAGTTGCAACCTATTTGGAAGGATGAATTGAATAAATCAACTTCATTCAAGCAGTCATAACACGTTTCCTTATTTAATGAGGAATGTCTTTAGGACGTAGATAACATTTTATCTTCAATGTTTTTTGTATGTAGTATGTCATGTAATCACTTTTCAGCAATATGTCTAATTTGGAGATTTTTTGTATGTTATTGGTAGCTTTTTGTTAGTCATCGATCCCCAAAGAATCAATGGCAAGGCAACTTTATTTGTATACATTCATACATCAGGCAACTCAAAGTAATTATTTTTTGCTGGGTTGTACAGTAGCTGATGTCAGCGCAGTGGCTCGAAAGTCCTCCGAGGGACAGGAAGTAAATCTCCCTGTTAAGAACTCTGTAAATATTTGAGTCAAAAATCTCCTTGTCTGTGGTGTGCACAGTTCTAGCAACTGCTCGTATTAAGCCGAGAATAATAGTTATTATATTATTAAACCAAAATAATTCTCTAACAATTAAATTTTTTAGGAAAATACCTAAAAAGGATTGGAAATGCATTAGCTTGTGTAGCATCTGCGGCCACAGACAGCAGCTGATAGTCGGTAGTCTTCACTTTGCTGACTTTTATGTGGTATTCAGGTTTTATTAACCAAGGCAACACTGAGAAAGACAAACCCCACAGTTATTGATGATTGATTTTTATCAATCATCAATCAATTTTTATTTAATCTTACACTAATACCATAATTACAACCATCTACTCTATATCCAGAATGCCTGATCCAAATCTCCTTGTAGACAAATTGCAAAGCAGCCTCAGATGTTAACCCAGCTCCACAAGTCCACATGTGCCAGGACGCTGGAATCAGAGCCAACAACTGCTTTCTGTACATTAATGAACAGCAGAGTTGTTGACCTTGTGGCTCCTTGTAGAGACTTGTGAATGTGTGAATATTGTCTGTAACAACGTCCATGTGTTTGTGCGCTGATCACACCTCATGCCTTAAGCCCCACAGTTCATCCTGTTACTCAGCACTGCAGTGATTACCCAGCAGGCCTCTTTGTGGGTGTGAACATCTGCTAAAGCTTTATGCACTCTCCCATATTATGTGCATTATACAGCACGTATACAACAGCAGAGCAATATCAGGGGTTGGTTTAAGATTGGGCTGAACTGTTTATTATATTTTTAGCATAGTAATGGGAATACATGTGAATATAGATGTCTTAAACAGATCTGCAATATACATTTTTGAATATCATGATGTGGTTTGTACCGTAAACTTTTTTTTATTATTTTGTATTGAAAAAAGAAAGTTGAGATGAGCCAAAGTAAGCTACATGAAAAGAATTACAAACTTGATTTCATATTCAATTCACTTTCACGTATTTCTTTTAAAGCCCTAAATCCCAACAGTAGTCATCACAGGACTTAACAGAACTGTTGAAATCGCAAACACAGGTCAGAGAATCACCAGTTTAGAGACACAAATTTAGAACAAATAGGTATTGGTCCGTAGGGAGAAACCAATGTCCATAAAGGTTGCAGTTCATGTATAAACGGAAATTGAAGGGGCATTACACAACTCTTGTGTGGTGCCTCAACTTTTGATCAGGGTTGTATCCAGTTGCCATTCATATGCCACTGGGACTTTGAGGTCAAATTCAAAGGAAGGGATTCATAATATGCATGACTTGTAGTCATCATATGTGATTTAATAAAACTAAATCAAAAACATTTGAATTGTTCTATACAAATAAACTTGCCTTGACAATCCTCATCAATCTAATGCCAAATCGAGATGAATTCAGCTGCACGTTTTTATTTACCCACATTTTAACATTTAATTTTAACATTTAACATTCTAAATTGCACAGTATGGTGGAGAATGTAGTTAAATGTGGCACGCAGCCCAACGCCATAACTGGCTTTGTCCTAATGTTATAGCTGGAGAGAGATTATTGCTGTTTGACACGTCATCACAATGCAGTGATAAGTGTTGTATATGTGACTTACAGCTCGCCATGAGAGGAGCTCCGGGGCCCAGTGGAATGACAGGGAGGTCCGGGCCTGTGGTGAGTTTCTCTTACACAAACATACATTCACGTCTCATATGCATTTACCGTGACTCCTCCAGCTGATGAGGAAAACGTTACAGCCATTTCCTGCTGTGAAGAGCTCTGCTGAATTTAACCACACAGCTTTTACTGTAAATAATTATTTTAAACTTAATTATCACCCAAACACTTCATCCAGTAGCTGCAATCCAGCCCAATCAACGCCACAATTTCACCAAGGCCAATTTTGCCCATTAAAGATATTTATCTTCTAACTATGAAATAAGATAGTATTGCATTTGAGTTAGTTCAGTCTGTGATAGAAGTCAAATACCTGAACTGGAAAATGTAACCACTGGTTGACGAGATCGAGAATCTAATTGTTATTACAATTATTATCATCTTGAGTCTGTAGGAGCCCACACAAAAGAAAATAATAAAATATGAATACTATTTCACATATTTATGTCATTGATATGAATCTACTTTATTATTATTTGTTGTTCATTTTTCAACATATTAGATACAGATTGTTTGATGAAGTGAATGTTCTTTCACAGGGAAATCCTGGTGCCCCTGGACTTAAAGGTGATGGTGGTGACTCCGGGCCACAGGTATGGGCTAACATTCAAAGCTTTTGAGACCTTTTACCTCATACATCTACATATAATGTACACATCAATCATTTGACTGGTTCAATTTTTGATGTGTTTGCCTACAGGGACCCAGAGGTCTTCAGGGCCCTACTGGTCTGCCTGGAAAACCCGGGAAAAGAGTAAGGACGTTGTCATATTCATATGTATAACAAACAATGTGTATTGCCTATCATCCCCTCGAGTTATTTGGCAAATTCTCACTTCTTTAGCATCTGATTACTGAAAATACAAAATAAAATATACCAAGAAATTATTATCTACAGTGAGTCATTTGCAAAAACTATTTTTTGTATTCAACTTGAGAAGGCTTTGTAAGTGACCAGTGGCAGGACTGGAAACACACACCAGCATTTTAAGTTTCAGCCCAAACATTTTGCACAAAAATGAGGCCATAAATCAAACGTTAACACACATGTGGGGGATTATTTAAGCTGTCTGACCAGACCAACAGACATCAAGGGTGTGACAAGAACAAAAATACAACTGAAAGTCATACATTTAATTAGATAAGTTTAATTAGCATCTGCCACCCCTGACCCAGAAATTGATTGATAAAGGGAATGAGAATGAATGAATGAACAATTGGCTAAATATAATTAAATAAATTAACCTTTGCAGTAATGATAATAATAATAGGATTAACAATACTGGCAATTTATGTATAACAAAAGATTATAAACTTAAATTAAACTCACAAATATCCCCTTCTCTGGACCTGCCATGGTTCAGGCCATGGAGTGGAGCCTGGAGGTTACACCCTCGCTGGATGAGTGACAGCTCTCCAGTGTGTGGGCGGGGTCAGCCCTCACAGGCTTATATCTATCAATGCAAATGGACCAAAAAAGGGATAGACCCAAAAACAGGAATCTCTCATAACAACTTATTAGTAAAGTAATTATAGTACTTATAGTAATTGTTGAGGCCTGGGTTGTTTAAAACATTGCTTCTATACGTGTACACATTATAACATTTTCCATCCTATTTCCGAAAGTGGGGAACCCTGTTTGTTTGTTGCACTGATTGCCTCGTCCGCATTCACAGAGTTTATTGAATATGTTTCCTCTGTTGACGGGACGCGTTGATGTCTTTCAGGGCCGTAATGGTGCAGACGGAGCTCGCGGGCTGTCGGGAGAATCAGGAGCAAAGGTAAAATACATGCGCTTGACAGACAGACATCAGTAAAACCGTTATTTATGTGATTGATGGTGTTATGATAAATGTTTCTAAGCTAAACAAGAACAAATATGCATGCATCATTTGGATTGTTTATAGCTATTCAACGGTTAACATTTCAACTAGAAGAACATAAATGTGAAAGCCATAGCAAAAGGGAGATGTGATTGATTAAAAAACGTGTTCAGTTTTGGAGTTTCATTTAGTTCCTGGTCAGGAAAGCCGATGTGAGATAGGTAGATGAAGTTACCAATTAAATGTGTATTCATATATTTTTGTCACAAACTGCCACACCTACCTTATATTGATTTTCAATTTAAGGTAGTTATTGGTTTATATTTATGTGGTTTATAATCTAGTGATATTTCATCATATATTAATTTATACAACTAGAGAAAAAGTTTTGTTGGCTCGTCAAAACCACTTTAGATAAGTTTAATTAGCATCCACTGGGCGGCACGGTGGCTGAGTGGATAGCACTCTCGCCTCTCAGCAAGAAGGTCCTGGGTTCGAATCCCGGTTGGACCAGGGCCTTTCTGAGTGGAGTTTGCATGTTCTCCCCGTGTCTGCGTAGGTTTCCTCCGGGTGCTCCGGTTTCCCCTACCACTAAAAATATGTACAATACGTATGGCATGTGCCTCCTGTACTGGCGACCCCCATCCAACAATTGTAAACCGCTTTGAGACTCCGATGTGCAGTGAAAAGGCGGTATATAAATAAAAGCTTACTTACTTACTTACTTACTTACTTACTTTAAATTGTTTGAGTTAAACAGATGAACATTTGTTGTTAAGTTACAGAAATTTGAACTGTTTCTTGTTTTCTTCCAGGGTGACCGTGGCTTTGATGGCCTCCCAGGACTTCCAGGAGAGAAAGGCCACAGAGTGAGTAATTAGAGAATGACAAAGGACTCAAATAAGAAGCTGCACTAACTCCTGCCTCATTATAAGTCTCAGTCATGTGTTAAACTGGCTAAAGACCAGTCCTTTATTACCTGTTTAAACCATTCACTGACTATCAGATGCGAACTAGGGAGCACAATGTGACTTTTCATGTATAATAATTGTAACTAAATTTATATATATAACAGATAATACTAAATGCTTAAAACACATCACTATGGCTACTACTTTTTTTACCATGACAAGTATTACTACTTTTTTACTGCTCTTATGACATTGTTCAGTATCATTCACTGTGGTTCCTTGCAAGGAGTCACAATATGATTATGAGAGTATCTTAGGGGGTGACAGTAGCTGCTGATAGAACAAGGCTGCTTCAAGAAGAATCTTCCTGTGGACCCACCACCTGCAAGGGACTGGTGCTATGAGCATTGAATGGCAGCTCTCATTGCCACTCCCCCGATCCAGAAATGGACTAATAAAGGGGTTGAAAATGAATGAGTATCTTATTAAAATACGTTATTGTTTAAGTGAGACGAGTACAAAGAGCACACGAGTCACGGCAGTGCTCACAAAAACAACATTAAAAATACAACTTCAGGGCTTGAGTCAATCCCAGCCTGAAATGTTTGGGAACCCCTGCTCTAAACCATTATCACTTCTGCTATTACTGTAAACTGTTTTCCAGATGTAGTGTAGGATTTTGATGAGTAATGAGTGAAATCTTTGACCCAGTTTGAGATCTGCACCCATTCGTTTCTGACCAGGCCCCAGGTTTATGGTTTTGGACATTTTAAACTTTGGGTGAAAGATGGAAGTTTGTCCGCAGAGATCACAGGGTGGTATTTCGAGACAGGCACTCATTCTTTATCCTATACTGAGTAATTAGAGGCCCATATAGGGCTCCTTAAATAGAGTAAACCAAAGGAAGACCATGCCAATTGTGGTGGCCAGGCTGAGATTAAAGGCATTTTTTCTCCTTTTTGAATAAACCTTGTCTTTAGTCACGTCACTTCATCTATTATCAGGCTCATATGACAGCTGTGTGAACCTTTTCTGTCTTTACTCAGGGTGAAATTGGGTCTTCAGGCCCCCCAGGATCACCCGGAGAAGATGGGCCCAGGGTGAGTTCCATCTTTCTCCAATTTGTTTATAGTTGAGCCGACATATTATTAGTATTTAAAGGGATAATATTTAAACATGTGAAAGTATTTACTATGTTTTCTTGTTTTTGTTTATTATATTTTACTTATGTATAGAAATACATTTGTTACTAGGTTCATCTTAAAACATTCTTTTTAACAGGGAGAGGATGGACCAGTTGGGCAAAGAGGTGTGGCTGGAGAGGGTGTAAGTATTGCAAAATATAAATCATCACGTTGATGTGTGAGATATAGAATCCATAAAGAATGTGAGCATAGTGATTCCATTCAGAAAGGATATCAAATTGGACTATAACAATGTATTGGAATCCATAACAACATCATATTCTAACATGGGCGGCACCAGGCACAAGCACCTCCTATCAAAGGCCCCCTCCTAGATTATTTTGTATTATATTTTTGCTAACTACAGACTTGTGGCCGATAGAATATACCGTACATGGATCTAGAAATTATTTTCAATTAATATTATCACTGGGGGTGACAGTAGCTCAGTTGGTAGAGCACTGGTCTTTGGATCTAATGATCGTGGGTCCGATCCCACCACGACCTATGTAATCTGCTCCCACTGATGTCTGCTGTCGTTGTGTCCCTGGGCAAGACACTTAACCCCACATTGCCTAAAGCCCCGGCTGAAAGACCAAGGCCAATGTCTTCAATGACGGAGAAGCCATCTTCCCGTGGACTCACCGCCTGCAGGTGGATGGTGGACAATATCTTGTTGATACATGACACACCAACTTTTTAAGGGCAACTTATTTTTTTTAGCACAGTTTAAGTGATTAACTCATTAAGAAAGGAAAAGGTATTTAACAAAGCATTACAATCATAAATGATCACAGTTCTTTAAAAACAGTGAACATTCTAATAGTTTGAGAACAAATAATGCTTTCGTGATTAACACGTGTGCATTAATGATTCGTCTCCTCGGTGAACTTATGTTCTGCTCTTGTCTTCAAGAGCCCTTCAAGCGTTCGAGCCACAAAGTTTATCTGGCCTCTGTGCTTAAGTCATAATGGATTTCCCTCATGAGAATTTGACATTATCCTCTTTGTTCCCCCGCATTAATGGAGCGAAACACATCAAGAGACAGTTATTGGAAGCATTCTGTTAAGTCATTCAGACGTTGCTTCAGGTTTCATCACAGTTTGAGTCAGAAACTTGGTGCGTTAGGATTTATTGAGCTTAGATTTCATGTGGGAGTAAATGTGGAGTGTATTGTGCTTATTAACCCTATTTCCGTCTTTTTTGTAAGTCATTTCAGCCAATAGGTAGTTTAGGCACTTTTCTAATTATATTGTGGTCTCCAGAGCTTCGGATGGAATGAAACTTCCCTTTGAAGCGATGTATCAACCTCGAGCAAAGGCATTTTGAATAGTAATTTCTGGATCTTTTTTGTTAGGGCTGCACAATTTCAGCAAAAACTCAATATTTTTCTGCCCAACATTGCGCTTGCTATGCCAGTTTTGATATCCTGTATTTAAAAGTGTACATATGACACAAAAACTACATACACAAGTTTCACACTTTACAGAAAAAAACAGTTTTTACATCCAAACATTTTATTCACAGTAAAAATGTTGAATATTCAAACACTTGAATTACACAGTTTTAATATTTTTTCACTGGTTTTGGTTGTTATTTATTTTCAAAGAGATGAGGTCACATTTAGAAAGAGAAAATAATGCTTCTGCCAACAAGCCACACAATATTTGTCACAGAGACATTTTCAAAATGAACAGAAAATAGACATTGTCACAAATTCAAGTGAGTTTGAGCTATTCTTTGATCCCCTCTCTTGTTTGAAAATAACTTTCAGTCTTTTGATCGCTTTTTGATTGCAATTCATTGTGCAGCCATTGTGTAATAAACACGTCTGAACTATATCTTATCATAATGGGGCCCATAGAAGTCCCTCCCCAACTCAGCATGCTGTCTCTGAAAGCAGCTAAATCAACTGAAATTAATTTCCATTTCAAGTGAAAGGTTTAGGATGGCGAATGTTTTAAAATACTTTGATATATATAACCTTTCACAGTTTGCATCAGTCTAACAGCTTTTTCTTGTCTCCTGTCAGGGTCCCCGAGGCTTGCTTGGTCCAAGAGGCACTGCAGGTCCATCCGGGCAGCGCGTACGTCTTCGTCTGTCATTTTCTCGCAGTAATCACATGTTTTCCTTCACGCACACATTCTGAGTGACGTGATTTTGTGTGTCCCTATAGGGTATTCCCGGGTTGGACGGGCAGCCGGGTCCCAAAGGCAACATGGTAAGTGTTTATTGAAGTTTATCTAAGTTTATTTGGACATTTTTCCCAGGGGAAAGCTTTGCCGAGAGGATGTCCCAGCAGCGTGTCAAAATAACAAGCCGTCATTAGTCAGGACCACCTAGGAAAGAGCCTGAGGGTGTTTAAAACTGCCAGTGGTCTTTCACGGTGATATTACAACAGTGCTTATTACAATTAGCTAAAGACCTTTACAGAGAATCATCAGCGCTAAAGCAATGCATTGAAATAGATTGGAGTCATGAAAATATATGGTATTTATATTCTTCAATCTCGCTTTTATGCACCTGAATATCAACTGAAAATACATTCACATGAATATATGAGATGAGAACTCTCAATACAAAAGTGTTTATTACCACTTAACTATGAACGATTAGAATCAAGTAAATTTTTGTGAGGATTTAAAAAACACTAGTAAAAAAAATAGCATATGACACAGTAGGTCATTAATTTAATTTATTCTTTACAGATATTGTAAAATATTGCTTTTATGTCCTGAAATGTAAAAAAATTGTGGTTTAAAATTGATGGAAAGCAATTATTAGGTCTCTCAAAATTATTATCATAAATCAATATGTTCTAGCACAAATAGATTATGGAAAATCATATATGTTCATCTCTCAGCTTGGTTTGGATTACTCTTCAAGAATTGATATGCACCATGGCATCGTTGCAGTACTACAATTAGTAGATATACAAATTAGTTGAGACATACTAGTGCAATAGTTCCACAGCACTCATGCTTCAGAGAAAGAAGGTCGTGGTTCGACCCCTTGTTGGCCCTGGACTTGCCCTGGGGTTTGCAAATTTCCCCTGTGTCTGGGTGGGTTTCACCCGGTCCTCAAATGGAGAAAAGCAGGTTTTAACTCCAATAAAGCAGGAGCACACCAGACCACCCATTTCCTCAAGTGAGTTCAGTCTTAACCTGAAGACTTTGATGAAATTGGTGGGATCTGGCTGGTGTGCTCCTGCCATTGACACCCAACCCTTGTAGCACTGGGTCAAATGCAGAGGACAAATGTGCAAAAGTACAGTATACCTTACCTCAACCCTTTTAGCTCCACCCATGGAGAATTTGAGGGCTTACTTTATGGATTGGATTGTCCCTTACGACTTGTTCCCTTACCACTACTCCCCTCACACTTTTACCAATTGAAGATGTTCACACACACTAATGAACGCTTAAGTTTACGAAATAAACATGTGGTATCATAGGAAAGGATCAATCATAGGACTACACAGGCTCAAAAACAGATATCAATAACTTTATTGACAAGGGATGGGAACGTAGCTTCAAGCAACAAACCTTATGTTGAGTTTTAGTCTTTGTCTAACTTTAGGCTAACTGAACACTTTGTAAGTTTATAAAGCTGTCACTATTACTCGTACTGGAAGTGGGTGTTTGAATACATAGGTCAGAATAAAGATATTTATGGCTACATCGTGTCTCCTCCCTGGACAGTCAGTGCAGGATGTCTTAAGGCAAGCTTAAAACATGGTCATTCAGACAACTGGACCCACCCACATGTTGTCAATGTCCACTGAGTCACTGCAGACAAGAAGAGCGCCCATTCAAACCAGAAGACCAGCGACTTGTGTGTTTCTAATTAACAAGCCACAATGTTTCAATTCACCACAGCCCCTCAGACCAGTGTAATGTGGGTTTGGGGAGACGCGAAAATGCAATAAAATGTCAAATTGAAGCTCGGAGGAAATAAGGATTTATCTGTTGTTTGTTGAAACAGCTGCAGCGACTCCCCCCACAGGTCGATGCTGTTTGTCGACTTTGTGACTCACTAAATCAAAGCAGGACAGACATGTGAGCATTTCCAGTTACTGAGACAGACTAAAGGGGTGGGCGATAATTATCACTAATATACAGCATTTTACATCCTTTTAGATAATTTTAGGACAGGATTAGGACAGAATCCAATTGGTCTATTTTTTCTCATCATTGAGGACAAAGTAAATTTCACTTTTTGGACAAATGGAGTTATCTGAATCTTATTCTGAATTGCTGATGATACGTTCTATGTTTGTAGAGTTGTTGCAATATACACATAACTATAGTACACTATTTTAATCTAACTTTATTTTAATTATCAGAAAAAAAAACAGGTTTGACTTCATGCTTTATCCATACAGTGCCTTGCGAAAGTATTCGGCCCCACACAATCGTGAAGTGGAACGAAATTTATTGGATAATTTAAACCTTTTTAACAAATAAAAAACTGAAAAGTGGGGCGTGCAATATTATTCGGCCCCTTTACTTTCAGTGCAGCAAACTCAGTTCAGAAGTTCAGTGAGGATCTTTGAATGATCCAATGTTGTCCTAAATGACTGATGATGATAAGAATGCACCTGTGTGTAATCAAGTCTCCGTATAAATGCACCTGCTCTTTGATAGTCTCAGGGTTCTCTTTAAAGCGCAGAGAGAACCATGAAGACAAAGGAACACACCAGGCAGGTCCGAGATACTGTTGTGGAGAAGTTTAAAGCCGGATTTGGATTCAAAAAGATTTCCCAAGCTTCAAACATCTCAAGGAGCACTGTGCAAGCAATTATATTGAAATGGAAGGAGTATCAGACCACTGCAAATCTACCAAGACCCGGCCGTCCCTCCAAACTTTCATCTCAAACAAGGAGAAGACTGATCAGAGATGCAGTCAAGAGGCCCATGATCACTCTGGATGAACTGCAGATAACTACAGCCTGCCATTGACGCACTATTACGTCAATTTTCCCCTATTTTCATGTTCCCAGATGTCTATTATATGTAATATGTTTGGGGATAAGCTTGAGAGCATATTGAATCGAGCCAGCAGGTGGCAGCAGCGCTCTCTGGATGGTTTGAAAACAGCTAGATGCACTTGTTGTGCCTCTTTTTCTCAGCTTTTTGGTGATTTCAGTAAAACTTCCCTCTACTCAACTGGGAATTACAAGCTAGAAACAAAATTATTTTTTCTGATGAAAGTAGACAGTCTATTCTTTCAGAATCTGGTTTCGGATTTCAGATAGTCATAGTACAAAATATTCTGTGGGTCTTGAAAAATCAATAAAAATCATCAGAAACTGCTGGCAATATGGGAGTACCTGTTCTGAAATAGGCTGGCAGGCAATGAGTTAATAAACATTGAACCAGTCCGGCCCTCGGCTCGCAGCAAATTTGTTTTTTTGGCCCTCTGATGTATTTGACTTTGACATGCCTGCTTTAATCCATTTCTGGGTCAGGGGGGTGGCAATCAGAGATGCCACCCAAGTCTCATAGCACCAGCCCCTCACTGACCCTCTGCAGGTGGTGAGTCCACAGGAGGACGGCTGCTCTTTGAGTGTGATTTGACTTTTCATAACAATAAAACGACACACACCTGGAACATTTTGACACAGCATATCCCCTTTCTCTTCGGCTAATTCCACTCCCTGTGACTTTCGTCCTTAATCTTGTTGTCATTGTTTTTGACAGGGACCTCAAGGTGAATCCGGACCTCCAGGACAGCAGGGCATGCCAGGCCCCAATGTAAGTGTGCAAGACTCTCTGTGCACTGCAGACAGATACATGCGCTCATTAAAGCTCATAAGTAAGTTTGAAAATAACATCAAAAATGCTAATATGTAAAACTATGAAAAGACAATAAGGACGAGCGACAAACCAGAGATCCACATTGGAATGACTGAATAAAGTCTTGAAAGTGAAAATAGTAGTAAGTATAGTTTACTTGACTGTCTAAAAATGGAATCCGGCTTGTTTTGACCCTTTCCTTTCAATGGTGACAGTTGTGAGTTGTTGTTATCTCTCATTGGCCAAGAACAACTCACAACTTACAGTAGCTAGACAGAAATAATGTAATCATTTTGGACATTTTAATATTTTTTTATTTATTTGACCCTTTTGCTTTTTGTTAAGATTAGGAGATCCTTTATTCGTCTCACAGAGGGGAAATTATAATACACACATTACCACCAGACTTTCTCTTTCCTCTTAACGACTGGTTAGAGCGCCCCATACATTCTCATGGAAAGTTTAAATTACCCCAAACAGAGCTGAACTGTGTGTGATTATATGTATTCTCCTAAAACAGCATCTCTCGTCTTAGATGAAACTATACACTGAAGTAATTCTCTTTGATGCCAGAATATGTATATATTCTTTCACATTCTTTCAGATGTCCGTTTGATAGTGATGCCTCGGTTTTATTGGAACGCACAACTTTGGTTTTCTTATTATAGTACTTCCTCCTAGTATAAAGCTGATAAAACATAGTCATCGTGCAGTTTGCAGCGGCTTCCACATAATTCACTCAATGTAATATTAAGATTACAGTATATATGGATAGAACAACTAGATCTAACCAAGAAGTGTAATTCAGTTATGTATTATTGATTAACTTAATGTGAATAGGGCTCCTATCAAAGTTATAATGGTGTCAAATACTTTTTGTTTTGTTCCAATTAGTAGCAGGCATTAATTACACACTGTTTTAACATTAAGACGTGTTAAAAATTCCATGTTTGTAATGTTATTAGTTACAAGCATCTCCAAATCAAACTGTACATATAGAATTCAAAGGGTATAGTGGTTTTCTCGCATTATCACTGAAGCTACTCTAGATAGAAATATACTAATGAAAAGTTGCAGTATGTCAAAAAATCAAACACATTCTTAATACTATAAAATCTTTAGGAAAGGCAAGTTTATTGTAGAGTGCAGTTCATACACAATCCAACTCAAAGTGCTTAACAAAACAAAATAGAAATCATCATACATCATCATACTTGGATTTGAACGTTGTAAACATTGCCTCACATTTTTAGGAAGACTGAAATGCTGCCTCTCCTTGCTTTGTCCTGACTCTGGTCTACTTTAGCAACTTTATGAGTATTTTGAACCATGCCCAGTATAGTGTCCATTTTACCACATAGACATTTCCACTATTAAACATTTAGCACAAAGTAAAGTGTCCAATCCAATGCCCTTTTCCCCAAGTGACACTGCAGTCCCGCTGACAGCTACGACTTCTTTCCAATGGCATCATATTATTTGGAAAGCTTTAGCCCAGACCTGTTCAGATTCTGTCGACAGGTTGAATAAATAACTTCTTCATCAAAGTTGGCGCCGTGTTTGATGTCTACCAGAGTATAGCCCATAAAATCATAAAACCTGCTTTGACTTTTTAATTTCTCTTTATGGGATTATTGCAAAGTAAACCAATTCAACTACTGCTAGCACAGCTGGTCCGAGTGGGAAAATGTGGGTGAAAATAAGGCCTGAAAAAAGCCTCAAACTGATGTTTTGTTGAATAATATGGTCTTTGGTCTTTCATTTGATCTGTCTGACTTTGAACACTGGAGTTTTGTCAGAAATGTATTTTAAACACACAAAAGGTTGACCTATGAAAGAGACAGAGGACTCAAACCAGACTAATAGAATAATTGAAATATGTATTTGGGGAAAAAAAAAAAAACAGTAGAAAATCAGGCCAACGAAATACAGTACATTTACAAAGCATGTATTTCGCCATTGGAAAAAGCATGCCTTGTATAAATTAGCAACAAATATAAAATGCTACTGCACTTAAAGCTGGGGTACCTAACTTATTTCATGCGTAGACAAAACCTGTTGGTTCTATTTGTAAGTTCTGTTTTGATACAAAACTCAAGATACATACGGCTTGATTCAATATGTATACGCACACTTTTTGCAGAAACTACTAGAACTTCCATGTTGTTGCTTCAGTCGGACAACTCCCACCCCACAATTATTTCAACCCATCTCTAACAGATTTCCAGAAAATTGCTCATCCCCCTACTCTATACCTTCCCAACGTTTCCCTCATTTTTTGTTTTTGTCTTTCAGGGTCTGATAGGCTCTCAAGGCCCGATCGGTCCTCCCGGAGAAAAAGTAAGTTGTTGGAAATAGCAGTCGTAGCTTCAAACACCCACAAATTCTCTGCCTGACTATTGCAGAAGCAAATGATTTCTGCAGACCTACCACTGTCGGGAATATAGGTCTCCAAAAGACATGATAGAAAAGCATTAGCCTGCGCCTGGATAAGTACTTAGCTCCCATATTGTGTTATTTTAGTGGTTTTGAGGATGTCTAATATTATTTCAAGCAGATGAACTTGGCTGTGCGTGTATTCAAATGTATTTATCGCTGTTCTTTGCAGGGACCTCAAGGTAAACAGGGATTGGCTGGACTTGCTGGCGCGGACGGCCCTCCTGTAAGTGTTATGCTCGGTATATCGATATGACAAGCTTTGAAATGTTACAAATATATATTTTTGCTTGTAGGGTCATCCAGGAAAAGAGGGTCCCACTGGCGAGAAAGGGGCATCTGTAAGTATTTCGCTCTTTATGTTTGCAGATAAAGTGAATATTTTGAATTGTTACTTGCTTGAGGTAAAGAGAAACAGTGATTATAGTCATATCCTCACGTAAGATGGCGAGAACACCTTTGATTGTGGAATATCAACCACTCCCACAAGGACAACTGCGTAACTAAGACAAGGCAAATGTTCGGAACACATTGTAAAAGTTAATTAAATTGTTTGCATTCATATGAAATACAACTTTCATAATTGGAAAGGTGAAGACAGGTGATATAGCCAGGGTGTTCATGCAGAGATTTTAATGTCTTGTGAGATGTCTGTAATGGGTTAAGAGTTCACCAATTTGCTGGGTTTTTCTCAATCATTAGAAGTTCCTGCACCCACTCAGCCAACCAACTAGTCTGGTCAAATATCAGCCATTATATTATAAACTCATTTTAAAGCAGGCAAGATAATTTTAGTGGTCCATGAAATGCTTTTCAATTATCATTATTACTGTAATTTGCAGCATTGATGGTAATGAGATGCCATGGCATGTAATATGTTTATAGGGAAAACAACTATATGATTGAATATGTTCTAAAATGTTAACTACAATGTAATTAGAAGATATGGGTGAATTATTCAATCAATTTATATCTTTTTATATTTGGCCCAGTTGTGATTGAAACCAAGCCTACGAGAAAATATTATCCAAACTCATATCAAATAAAATGAACTAGCTCCAATAAGCTTTTATATTTCTAAACTTGGCCCCGGACCAAAAAAGTAGTTTGACACCCCTGTTTTAAAGCTTTTGAAAGTGCAGAATTTACTAGTGATACACACCATGCATCTTTTTGTTTTGGTCTGTGAAAGATCTGCAACATATTATGCGAACGCTAGCCTCAAACAACTAGTGAGATAATAAACACAAGATCACAATGTCATCCGGTAAACTTCAGCTCTGCTAATATGTAATTTATCCTTTTAAAGCTTAGAAACTCTAGGAGCTTGTGAGAAGATAAGCCAACATCCTTCAGGTGACTTCAGCTCACAATATTTTCATCTACCTTTATTTCAACGCCAATTCACATGTTTTAAAATAAGTTAAAAAGCGAAAGAACAACAAAAACTCAGAGAAATTGGTTCAAAAAGATTTGGGCTAGTCCTCAGTTTATATGTTTCAACAATGTTTATGTGCAGGTTTGTGATTTCAAACCTTCTCATACTTTCAAATGCATTGGCCATATTATCCTACTACTGTTTCTTTCCAGAAACAATTACACAGGTAGAGGTTTTATTAAAACCATAAAAAATGCACATATCTACAACTGCATAATTTGTTTCCATTTTAGGGTAACCCCGGACCTCCCGGAACTATCGGCTACCCTGGACCCCGTGGTGTCAAAGTAAGTTCTTCTCACCATAGTATTCACCTAAGCTTTTGTCTTGGAGTTGAATCTATAACTTGGCTTTTTTCATCTCCAGGGAGCAGAGGGAATCCGTGGGCTTAAAGGTGGCAAAGGAGAGAAGGTACCCACTCATTACCCGACACAATGCGGCCGACAGAGGCTTTTTATAGAGGAAAACAGATGCCTGACAAGTATAATTCCTTTCTAAACAGAGCTCCTTTGAATAGACTAAGTGGGAAAGTGCTTAAAAGCTCATCAGGTTTACAGTAGGAGAGGCCTGTGCCAACCAGATCAAATGGACCATGGTGCATTAACTGGAATGAGGCTGTTTTAATGGGAGTTCCACTGCTCTTTTATCTCACAACATTGTTTTTAGACTTTGGTTAAAGAGGCCCGCTTGCTCTATCTTAAAATGCTGATAGTAATTGTCAAAATCGCTCATTATTTGTAATCAAGACTGAATTTTACATGTATGAGAGGTGATTTTGCTTGCTTCCTAAGTCCCACTGAATGTCATTTTATGTAATTCAAGTAAAATGCTTTCAAAATTGAGAGAGGTTTGTTAAAGATTAAAGCAGCATTTTGTGATAGAGAAAAAGAAAATTAAAATCTGTTTATTTTCATCATTTGGGACCATAAACAGTCCAAATGTATGCAGTTTACCATAGCATACAGCTTCCCAGTCAAATGCCTATCAATGTTTTTATATAGGTATTTTCCTAAATGTTTAAGTAGAATTGTTCAGCATAGGAGCTACCAGCAGCTCACCACCCACTTTCAATGTAAAGGATTCAGAAAGTAGATCATATATGATGACGATTCCAAAACGATGCTTACAACTACAGTCATTTTAAACATTGTAATACATTATCACTGATGACTGTTTATATGTTGCTCTCTGGGTGAACAAGAGCATATTTGAAGTAGATTCTGGAGGATCTACGGACATTAATTATATGGGACTTTTAATTAGAAATGTATGGGAATGTATTAATTGACATTGATCATCAGGCCCCCTATGGACAGGTTGCTTTATGTTTGTTATTGCATTTACAGTGTTCGAACTGTTTCTCTGATTTGGGGAATCGACAAGGAATCAGAGATGACTTCTATTGTGATTTAGGGATATACAAAAATACATTTACTTGTCTTGAAATGAATTGAATAATAGTGGTTAAAATATGCACATTCAAACACCATTTCTATGAATCTAATATCCTCAGTGACTGACGAAGCTTTATTGAGGGTTGTATTTCTGAAGCTTCACCACCAGGTGTCAGTGCAGTCTTCTTCCAACAGCAGACATTGGAAAAGAGGATAAAGAGAAGTGTCCAGGGAAAGAGAATTAATTCAAGTGACCACAAGATGTCAGTATGAATACAGTACAGTCACTGGACACGTTCTGTGCAACTCCCTCATCTCACTGCTACCATGCATAGTTGTGATACATTTTATTATAAACTTTTATTGTTAACTTTTGCTTTTATTATTATTTTTTTTCACCGTCTGTTTCATCAAGCAGCATTACGTAAACAATGGTGACGGATTTGACTAAAGTTTTTCAATGTGTGATTTTTGCTGGGAATGATGAAGTAGCCCATGTTGAGCTTGTTAATGTATTGTTTATAGCTAGCATCAATGGAATGTCACAACATTACAAAAATACTATAGTTTAAAACGTGGTGGAGGAAGGACAGATTTCAGGGCAAATCCAAGTTAGTTAGTTGGATACTTTATTTATCCCTGTATGAGAAATTCAGGTGTCCAGTAGCAGCAAAAACATGTCCATCCAAACAAACAAAACTAATTAATTGATAATTCAAAAAAATCTAACTATAGTAATAATAAGCAACAGCACTTCTGGTCACAGCTGCAGAGATGGAGTAGCCGCTTGGTTCGGATCATTTTCTTTACTCTCGTCCAAAGAAAAATATTGAATGCTTCATTAGCATTTTTGAGTGATCGGTGACACACAAACTTTCTCTAAGTTTGATATCTTTGTCAGCACATTTAAACTATGGTTTATTATGGTGTATTTTCTTATACAGGTTTCTTTAAGTGGTGACAATTTTCAAACATGCATGATGTCGGTTTGTAGAAGGGACTTTCAGACAAGTTTATTAATCTAATCTCACTCAATGAATGATCTAAGAAAGCATTATTTTTTTTGCTTTTCAACATTTCAACATGCTTCAATAGAGTTAAGTTGGCCCCTGCCCTCCAACTGAAATATTGATGTATAACATGAACACACCCTATTATAGAACATGTTCATTCAGAATGTAAAATGAGCTCCTTATCTTAATTTGACTGGTTCTAAAACTGAAACCAAATCAATGATGTCTTCATTTATAGGATGCAGTTTAATTCTGATCATAGGAGCTCTACACATAATATTAAAATGCAATTGTGTGCTTTGCTCGCAGGGAGAAGATGGATTCCCCGGCTTCAAAGGTGACATGGGCCTGAAAGGAGACAAGGTGACTACAAAACATTCACAGCTGTGTTATTTCTATAGGACATGTTTTTGAAGCTGTGGGTGGCTTTGTTCTTGATCCCAGGGTGAAGGTGGAGTCTTGGGCCCCAGAGGAGAGGACGGACCTGAGGGACCCAAAGGCAAATCGGGACCCAACGGAGAGTCAGGGCCTATGGGATCAGCGGGAGAAAAGGTGAGCGATTATAACAACGTCAAATTTAGACGTTCATTTAGCTAGATTAATGAGAGCCATATTCACATCGGCAGGATTTGAATTATTTATCTATTTAGAGGTGACATTCTAACGGGGTTTTACAAATTAAAGGCTAAATTACATCTTAAAATAGCCCAATGGCAAGTTTGGAGGGGTGATGCCATTCACAATGCAAGCAACTCCCTGGGCTCCCTTATTATGCTATACAGGTGAGGTTAAATAGTATTTGAAGGAGTTTTAATGGGAACAGGAAGTATCATGTATGTATTAACATCAGTTCTGTTAAACGATTTAAATATCATCACTCCCATGTCATAGATAACTCACAATTAATCACACATTTTTATTTATTATAAATGTTCCTTAATTTGGGCTGTGACCTGGAAATATTTGTGATTACTGATGGATGTCCAGTAATCATCATGAGCACGTTTGCTTTTGTTTTCCCCGACGCCCCCAACTTTTCAAGCATAAAGGCTCAGGTAGAGTGCCGTGAGGCTGATTTCAGATCCATGCCTGTTTTAGAAACCTGGAACATGCAGAATAAGGCTGACATGCTGCATACTGAGCCGTGCGGCCAGACGCTCGTCAGCTCAAAATATGACCCATGCATGTTGGTTCTGTTTCCGATCCAGCTTAATCCATAGTGTTGTTGCAGTTTTTTCTGACGTTACTAGTTGTTGACACAGCATGTGAAAAAACTGTAAAGAGTGCTCGGTCAAAAATATTGTTCACCATTAATAATGCGTTTAACTGACAGCACAACTTATTAGTAACTTACAACTGACTGTTGCTAAAGTAATTCTACAAGAAAAATAAACTAAGACAACATCACTCCTTCAAACAACAACAATTATAGTGGTATGGTATGTTCTTCCACCAGTTTCTATATGCATATATTTGTGGCCTCTGTCACATTTCTAGATCAGCATTGAAACTTAGTTACAACCAATGGTTCAACAACCACAGTTTGGAAATAAATACCTTAATACCATTTATACCACTGTTTGTCACCAATTTGAAAATAAGACTATTGTATGAACTGTTTTTAACTCCTTTTGGATTATTAAAGTTAAGCTATTGTTACCTATTGGACAAAAATAATAGTTTTGATGTTGATATATGTTCTTTAAACTTGCTTTAAACATGCAATGCTGGGGGTCATTAAACTCTTTGAGGTCAGCTGGTTTAATCTCGCTTTTATGTCTCCTTCCTAAATGTTTATTATTCCAAAAGTGAATTGAGAAAACCAGTGTGAGGCCCCCCCTTGGACTGCCACCTTAACGTGGTGGGGGAGTTTGAGCACTCGGATGATCCTGGGAGCTATGCTGTCTGGGGCTTCATGCCCCTGGTAGGGTCTCCCATGGCAGACAGGTCTCAAGTGACGAGTCAGACAAAGAGCAGTCCGAAGCCAACCATGGACAGCACGACAATGAGAACCGTGACGTCGCCCGGCATGGCGCAGCCGGGGCCCCACCCTGGAGCCAGGCCTGGGGTCGGGGCTCGCAAGCGAGCGCCTGGTGGCCGGGCCTTAGCCCACGGGGCCCGGCCGGGCTCAGCCCGAAGGGATGACGTGGGCAGTCCCTCCTGTGGGCCCACCACCTGCAGAGGGGTCCGTGGTGGCGAGGTGCAGAGAGGACTGGGCAGCAGTCGAAGGCGGAGACCTCGACGACCCAGTCCACACACCCAACATCTGGCTCTTGGGACGTGGAACGTCACCTCACTGGGGGGGAAGGAGCCCGAGCTTGTGGGGGAGGTTGAGCGATACCGACTAGAGATAGTCGGCCTCACCTCCACACACAGCTTGGGCTCTGGAACCCAACTCCTTGAGAGGGGTTGGACGCTCCACTTTTCTGGTGTTTCCCGCGGGGAGAGGCGGCGAGCTGGGGTGGCCATACTCATTGCCCCCCATCTCAGCCGCCACGTGTTGGAGTTCTCCCCGGTGAATGAGAGGGTCGCGTCCCTCCGCCTCCGGGTGGGGGACAAGTCTCTCACTGTTGTGACGGCCTACGGGCCTAACGGTAGTGCAGAGTACCCGGCCTTCTTGGAGTCCTTGGGAGGGGTACTGGACAGTGCACCGCCCGGGGACTCCGTTATTCTCCTGGGGGACTTCAACGCCCATGTGGGAAATGCCAGTGACACTTGGAGAGGGGTGATCGGGAAGAACGGCCCCCCTGATCTGAACCCGAGCGGTGTTCAGTTGTTGGACTTCTGTGCCAGTCACAGTTTGTCCATCACGAACACCATGTTCGAGCACAAGGGTGTCCATCAGTGCACGTGGCACCATGACACCCTAGGCCGGAGGTCGATGATCGACTTTGTTGTCGTATCATCTGACCTTCGACCGCGTGTCTCGGACACTCGGGTGAAGAGAGGGGCGGAGCTGTCAACCGATCATCACCTGGTCGTGAGTTGGATCCGCTGGCAGGGCAGGAGGCCGGACAGACCTGGCAGGCCCAAGCGTGTAGTGAGGGTTTGCTGGGAACGTCTTGCTGAGCCCCCTGTCAGACGGACTTTCAACTCACACCTCCGGGAGAGCTTCTCCCAGGTCCCGGCAGAGGAGGGGGACATCGAGTCCGAGTGGACCATGTTCTCTTCCTCTATCGCCAATGCGGCGGCTCGTAGCTGTGGTCGCAAGGTCTCTGGTGCTGGTCCCGGCGGCAATCCCCGAACCCGGTGGTGGACACCGGCAGTAAGGGATGCCGTCAGGCTGAAGAAGGAGTCCTATCGAGCAATGATGGTTCGTGGGACTCCTGAGGCAGCTGTCCAGTACCGGCAGGCCAAACGTGCCGCGGCCCGGGCTGTTGCAGAGGCAAAAACCCGGGTCTGGGAGGAGTTCGGAGAGTCCATGGAGCATGACTATCGGTCGGCCTCGAAGAGGTTCTGGCAAACCGTCCGGCGCCTCAGGAGGGGGAAGCAGTTCTTTGCCAACACCGTGTATGGTGCGGGTGGAGGGCTGCTGACCTCGACTGGGGATATTGTCGGGCGGTGGAAGGAATACTTCGAGGTTCTCCTCAATCCCCCCGTCACGTCCTCCGTCCAGGAGGCAGAGGCTGAGGATGTTGGGGCGGATACTTACATCTCCCTGGCCGAGGTCACCAAGGTGGTTGGCAGCCTCCATGGTGGCAAGGCGCCGGGAGTGGATGAGATCCGTCCTGACTATCTAAAGTCTCTGGATGTTGTAGGACTGTCTTGGCTGACACGTCTCTGCAGCATCGCGTGGCGATCGGGGGCGGTACCAATGGAGTGGCAGACCGGGGTGGTGGTCCCTCTCTACAAGAAGGGGGACCGGAGGGTGTGTTCCAATTATCGTGGGATCACACTCCTCAGCCTCCCCGGTAAGGTCTACTCCAAGGTACTGGAGAGGAGGCTACGTCCGATAGTCGAATCTCGGATTCAGGAGGAGCAGTGTGGTTTTCGTCCAGGTCGCGGAACACTGGACCAGCTCTATACTCTCCATCGGATACTCGAGGGTTCATGGGAGTTCGCCCAACCTGTCCACATGTGCTTTGTGGATTTGGAGAAGGCGTTCGACCGTGTTCCCCGGGGTGTCCTTTGGGGGGTCCTCCGGGAGTACGGGGTCCGGGGTCCTCTGCTGAGGGCCGTCCGGTCCCTGTATGACCGGAGTCAGAGCTGTGTTCGCATTGCCGGCAGTAAGTCAGACCTGTTCCCGGTGCATGTTGGCCTCCGCCAAGGCTGCCCTTTGTCACCGGTTCTGTTCACTGTATTTATGGACAGAATTTCTAGGCGCAGCCAGGGGCCGGAGGGGATCCGGTTCAGGAACCACAGGATTTCATCTCTACTTTTTGCGGATGATGTCGTCCTGCTGGCTCCAACGAACCAGGACCTGCAGCATGCACTGGGACGGTTTGCAGCCGAGTGCAAAGCGGCTGGGATGAGAATCAGCACCTCCAAATCCGAGGCCATGGTGCTCGACCGGAAAAAGGTGCCTTGCCCTCTTCAGGCGGGTGGAGAGGTCCTTCCTCAAGTGGAGGAGTTCAAGTATCTCGGGGTCTTGTTCACGAGTGAGGGGAGGATGGAGCGTGAGATTGACAGGCGGATCGGTGCAGCGTGCGCAGTGATGCGGTCGCTGTATCGGACCGTTGTGGTAAAGAGGGAGCTGAGCCGAAAGGCGAAGCTCCCGATTTACCGGTCAATCTTTGTGCCCTCCCTCACCTATGGTCATGAGCTGTGGGTAATGACCGAAAGAACGAGATCGCGGATACAAGCGGTCGAAATGAGCTTCCTCCGCAGAGTGGCTGGGCGCTCCCTTAGAGATAGGGTGAGGAGCTCGGTCACACGGGAGGAGCTCGGAGTAGAGCCGCTGCTTCTCCACGTCGAGAGGAACCAGTTGAGGTGGCTCGGGCATCTGTTCAGGATGCCTCCTGGACGCCTTCCTGGGGAGGTGTTCCGGGCACGTCCCACCGGGAGGAGGCCCCGGGGAAGACCCAGGACACGCTGGAGAGACTATGTCTCTCAGCTGGCCTGGGAACGCCTTGGGGTCCCCCCGGACGAGCTGGAGGAGGTGTGTGTGGATAGGGAAGTCTGGGCGTCTCTGCTTAGACTGCTGCCCCCGCGACCCGGCAACGGATAAAGCGGAAGAAAATGGATGGATGGATGGACAGTGTGAGGCCATATATAGTTTCCTCTCATTTTAAAGTTTGGACGTTAGCATTCTCCACACCGCTTCACTTCTACAAGGGCCTATTTAATTGGCCCAGAGTCTCAACCCGAGGCTTTGATCATGACACATAGATTTTGAGTTTCTCTTTGGTCCAGTATTATTTATCTTTTGACAAATTTCAGCTAAAGGTTACAGCTTGTTCTTGTGCGTTGACATAGAAAATGGAGGTAAAAGTGAAAGCAGATATATTGCTCTATGAATTATCTGAGGAGCTGTGATCAATATGCCCTGGTGTTGTACACAAAGAGTATCAAACTCAAGGATTAAAACAAGCAAAGGTGAAGTAAAACTAAATACTTAACATGATGACATTATCAAGTAAAAAAGGTTCATTCCAAATTGTAATTACCTGGCCTTTCCAAAAAACAAAACAAAAACTGACACTGCCTTTCATGTAAGAGTATACGGCCTGACTTCCATTGTTATTGAACAGAAAAAAATGCATAGTTTCATCTGTGGTAGAAAGCACTATAGTCTTTGTAAATAAAAAAGATAATAAACTGGGGACAAGTGTAATATGCAAAAAAAAATGGGTTGAATACAGTCATTACAAGTAGACATTACCTGCAGGGTTTTTTTGTACTTTTGAAACAAAAAGCACCAGTATTTTTTGTTTAATGTTTGAGCCAATATCATCTGCATTTCACCTACTGACAAACTGCAACCTAAATGAGAGCCTCATAAACTTCAGTCTAAATGTTTGTTAAGAAAAGATCAAATATGATGTGTTGAACTATTGTCTGGGGACACATTAATAAAATGTAGATGTAATTTAAAAGAAAAATAATATATATTGTCTCTTTTAAAATAAGTTACATTTATTTGATGTTTCGCACTATCAATTTATTATCGAAAAAATCGTGAAAGGAAAGCGATTGTATCCTATATAAAACTCCTCCGACGTGAATAGTCTGCTGTCTGCAATAAAAAGAGCCCTTAGAAATCCTTATTAGGATTTACATGATTGGAAAATGAATTCTTCCACTTTCTCTGTAGATGAGAAAATTCACTCGGCCGTGGTCAAAATGGATTTCCTCACAGTCAGTGGTTTCAAACTATAGTTCCGTGAGCCTTGGGACTTTAACAGACGTACTTTATCTGTCTGAGTAGAACAAGTGATGAAAATGTGTCTTCTAAAGTGTAACAAAAGTTTTAAAGTAGTCCTCACCAAAAATGTGATATTATTGCAATTATACACATCAGCTCAGGGAGGGAACAGCGAGAAATGAAAGTGGAATAATTATTTCCATTCTGTTTTAAAGGGAAAACTTGGAGTCCCTGGATTGCCTGGTTATCCCGGAAGACAAGGATCAAAGGTAAGATGTTAAAAGTCTCCTTCTTACAGAAACAGCAATGACAAATTAACAACTTTTAACAATTCTCACAATTTCTCATCCTTACATATAGATAGATAGATGGAAAGATGGATACTTTATTGATCCCCGTAGGAGAAATGCAGGTGTCCAGTAGCAGCAAAAAAATTAGATAAAATGGATCATTCTAAAAAGCTAACAATAGTGGTAATCAGCAACAGCCCTTCAGGTCACAGCAGCAGAGGTGGAGTAGCCTCTGGGTGGAGCAGAACAGGTCACAAGGTGGAGTAACCGCTTGGTTCGGACCATTTTCTCTGCTCTAGTCCAAAATAAAATGCTAAAAGTAAAAGTAAAAAAAAGAAAACATATCGAGTGATCCAACATTTTTTGTGTATTTGTAAAATGGGTGATCACATTATATTCAAGGTAGCTTTAGACACGGACAGTGAACGATTTTCACACAAAAGTCTTTCCAGTTTCTGTCAATTTGTTTTTCACAGGATTTAACATCTAGGATAGAGGTTCAATCATTACTTAGTCAGGATCTATGACAATTGTCAACCTCACTTCAGTGCTGGGAAATCACATGGAGAGAGAGGTCAATAAACATCTGTTCGCTGCTGTGAAAGATCAGCTCGGTCCTCTGCAGTTTCCCTATCGGCCCGCAGAGGACGCTGTTGCAAATCACCTGCTGCAGCATTGTATTAATTCAACTGATTTCTGCATTGAATACATTCAGCCTCGAAGGGGATGAAAGACTATCTGACTGATCGACTCGAATGGCGCTGTGTCATGTGTCAGAGGAGAGTGTGGCGTCACCCGTCCTGTATTCTCTCTACATTAATGCCCTACAGATGAAAGACACTAAGGTCAAGCTCAACACTAACTTCATGGCTCAAGTGCAAATGGTAGAAGAATGGTAGAAGAGGTGGAAGAGAGGTGGTCAAAGAATGGCCTTGTTTAGTCTCCAAAAAACTGTCTTTACAAAGCAGAATGTGGATTAGCTTCAAACCTTGGATTAGAAAAGGATTTCAGGTTTTCAAGTGAGCGTACATATTCTGGCAAAGGTCTATGATGTCATCTGATTGAGAGTATTCTTGTTTTTAACATTTCTGTTTGGTTCAGTTATCTGACAGTAGCTGACAAGAACATGTTGGCCAGAACGGGTTGGCCAGAATTGTAAAGAATGCGGGGAAGATATTTGGCAGAGAGCAGAAAAAGCTGGAGGTTCTTTATCAATCAGCCAAAGCCACAATAGCTCAGTCCTCATCAGCGAAGGAGAACGTAGGATGAGTTTAGGTAAATGCCATCGGGGCCATCATGCCATTAGCAACAGAGAAAGTATACAAAAACTCACTTTTGCGAAACGCAGTCACTTAAAGTAGCACTAATGGGATGTATGTTGAAATCCGCTATGCTACTGTGAACACCACTGAAGTGTTTAATATCTTCTGGTATGTGTTTGAAATGTTGTAACAAAGACACATTTTCCCAATGGTGGGCAATACATTTCAAGTTAATGTTATTGCAGTCGGACCGCGAACAGCTTGAAAACCAAAAACGCAGCAGTAAAGGAGAAATTGAGAAAGGCATGGCGCAATAGTAATTGGTCTCAGTGTGCTCGCTCAGGCCGACGGCTTATATCCTCTTGCAGTGGACATATTCCTGCTCCTCTGTGCTCCTCTTCAGTTTAGCATCATCAACAGTTTGTGGTATGGACCTGACCACAACGTCAGCTCTGCTCTGAATGTGCTGTGGCTGCTGTGTCATCTGCATCTCTCCTGCTGTCAGCTCCCAGCTCAGATATAATGGGTCAGATGCATCTCCGCACACAGTATCCAGCCCGACAACTGTCCTCCAGCTGTTTGCTTTCATTATCATTGCAAACGTGGAGGTCTATATTTGGGCCGTCGCCGAAACTGACCAAAAAACGCCCTGTTGATTAATAAGTCGACTAAAAAAGAAGGCGTGACAAATTATCGTGCAACTTGTATATAATAACATTTTGTCAAACAAAGAACCATCCACAGATTAATTTACAAAACAACCAGAATATTGAGAGCTCTTTATTTACTAAAACAACAGTGTCTGCCCTGGCTGGACCTTACTGAGTGGGTGTAACTAAAATGGTCACGTTAAAATTGTGCTTTCTACATTATTCAAGGCAATCAAAGCGCTTAATATCAAGGAACTAGTCACCCACACACATCCATACTCCAGAGCAGGCAGACACTGCATAATAAAATATGTTGCCGGTTTAATTTGGACATTTCTCCCTGTGTCTGGGTGGGTTTCCTCTGGCCGCTCCAGCTCACCATCCAAACCATGCACCATGGAATCCAGTCAAAGCTAAGATTCAACATTTAGAGATGGGTCCCCGGGAGCTGCATTTCATCTTCTGACAGGTTTTTTAATGGCATTGAAGAGCAGGTCAAATACAGAGGACACATTTGTGACAGGCTATGGGGAAAGTGTCCAGAATTTCTACCAAAGGAATTTGTCTGTTGGCAGAATGTGTTGGATAAGATCATGAACTACCTACTCAGTGTCTCAGATTAAACTGCTTGTTAGTCTAATGTGATGCAAATGAGCAGACATGTGTCCCCTCCCCCTGAACTGGGCTGGAATAGGGACAACCTTGAGGCTGTTTATCTCAGCTTTGTGATTTCAGGTGACCTCAATTACAATTTACCCCAAATCCTTCAAATATGATCAGATTTCTAGTTTAAAAGTATAAATAGTTGTATTTTTTGTAAGCTCGTTTTATAAGATCTTTTGTTCTGGCTTACATCACATTCAAAAGTATAAAACTTGTCTTTTTATAGTTTGCAATTTTAGATCTATTCCTATTATGGGTTAGAGATGTATGATTTTGAGATGCGTCTAAAGCCGAGTGTTTCAACTTAAGATAAGGAAACTTAATCCACATCTATTTCACATAAAGAAAATCCACTTCATTTCTACTACAAAGTTATATTCTCTGTAAGTTTGTCTGAACGCGTGTTACCCCTGTTAATCACGCTCTGACATTGTCCTCAGTGGTGTCAGGGTCATACACTTTTGGCTTATCGGCTGTTCGATCGGTGCCGTGCATGAATCTCCCCAAACGCTGGTGTTTTTGGATGCCATGCCCCATCGCTCTCTGTTAACAGCTTTCCCACGCCGTTAATTTTGGATGTGCCATTTGCAAAGAGCTTCAGTGGAACGTTGCTTATCTCTGTGGTGCAAGTCGGCCTCTGGGTTTACCATAACTGCACCTCTGTGAAAAACAAATTACCAGCAGCACACATCTCCCGTCATGCTTTCTTCATTTCTGCCACGCTTCTTTACTTAATGTACCATCTTCATCCGTGCATGCTTACAGTGATAGCTGGTGAGAAGAAAATGTATGCATATGACCTTGTAATGTATACCTATTTGCATTGGCACCAAGAGCATTTAACTTTGCTCTTGTGCACAAATTTGGCAAAACTCAGAATGTTATAAGATAGTTCCCTCATCAAAACCATACCGCAAGACAGTTGTTTTTAGCTTCACTCAGGCTATTAATCTCACAAAACGCTCCATCTAGTGCAAAGGTACTGGATAAATAGATAATACATAGGCAAGAGATATAATGCATATTCTTGATTATTGAGCAAAGAACGGTAAAACATTCAAAATGAGTTATTGAATTCCCTTTATTCATCATGTTAATTAGTGCATAAGTAAACTATGATTATGCTGATTGGAACATAAAAATCTAAATTAAAATAGAATCTTTTTTTCTTTTCTTCGACTGTGCACTGAAAATATCAAATTCATGGAAGATGTGAAAGACAGACGTTTTGTTTTCTATTTATGTTAAAAGCAGTATTGGTTCTTATTTTATCATTACAGCACAGTGGCTGAGTGGTTTGAACTCCTGGGTTCGAATCCCAGGTCTTTTTGAGTGGCGTTTATATGTTCTCTTTCTATCTGTGTTGGTTTTCCTCCATGTGCTCCCCTTTCTCTGGTGCCAGAACTCCCTGAAAAAGATATTTTGAAATCTCATTGGGTCATTCCTGGTTAAATAAAGGTACAAAAATCAAGAACCACATGAGAAAAGTTCTGCTCATGACCTTATGTATGATGGGATAGCAAAACTGAACTTAATGGCTACTCTTTTTGAATGTTTGCTGACGCTGTCCAAGGTGACAGATGTGCATATAATCTCAGCTTTACCCAAGTTTTTTTGCTATCAGAGAGGCACACGCTGTTAAAGCCTTAACACTGAACTGGTGAGCGGCATCAAAGCAGATCCACTATTTGCTCTTTTAGGCAGGATTTTGGAGCACAGATGGCATGAGTCCCATGTTAAATGAAAAGTTTGAATGAAATGTCCTTTAAAGTGTAAGAATTGTCTAATAGTCATGCATGTTTTGTTCTCTGCAGGGTTCCACCGGTTTCAATGGATTTCCAGGAGCAAATGGAGAGAAGGGAGCAAGGGTAAGCTGCACGATCGATCCGATAAATTATATATTATTCTTGTGGATCAACCTATGTCCGTCCAACTTTTAGAGGGCAACAAAATGCTTGTATTTTCACAGCATCTAGTATATCCAATGGAGCTACAGCTGCATACATGTTTAACTTATCTGTATAGCATTGTCTTTGCTGACTTAATATCTACCAGCAAGTATTAGTCCTTTTGTAAAGTTCACACAAAATAATATATGTTTAAGTTATTTATATTAAAATACCTTTTTATTAATCTAAAACAGGGGTGCTCACACTTTTTCAGCATGCAAGCTACTTATAAAATGATCAAGTCCAAATGATCTACCTACTACAAAAATGCAAAACATATTCATTTCTAAATATATTGAGGATCTAGGTTGATGTACACGCAAAACCGCATGATTTATAAAATAATTTGCATCCACACATAATCGAACATCTGCGTTTTCAATGGCATTCATAACATTCCAAACATGTGCGTCCTCTGACGTCCTGCGTTCGGGAAAAACCACAGAAGTGGGCGGAGCTCTGATGCAGACGCAGGTACTTCTGTAGCACTTTTACAGTCACAGAAGAAACTCAGGGTGAGGACATATTTTTATAGATACATGGTGAAGACATATGTTTACAAGCACTGACCCCCGTCCTCAGCCCTGATTTAGCTCCTGTTTTGGTTGTTTTCGAGCGTGAGTCCCCGTGATCACTTTGCTGCTCTCTGATGTGGAGGATGTTCGCTGCTGTGAACCGCTCTCAGCAGCAAACAGTTTTTAAGGCAGTAAGATTCTTCTTCTGTGATCAGAGGTCGCACGTTTTGTTTGTTGTTGTTTTGGGGGCATACTGTGACGTGCAAAAACGCAAAACTCCGGTTATCTCTGTCTACACGCAAATGCATAAACGGATATTTTTTTTTATGTAATGCGATCTACCAATACTACCTTTGCGATCGACTGGTAGATTGCAATCCATGTATTGAGCACCCAAGATCTAAAGCATGTTCATTCCTGCACATTTCTGGCACCCTAATGATTCCCTGCAATACGTCTTCATACATTTTTTTCACAACTATCAGAACCCAGTTTTGTGTCACTAAACTTAACCAGAGCCATTTACATAAGCCATACACTATATTATATAGTGTTCACATACATGTATTGTTTGGCCTCCTCACATATTTACTGTAGAATAGCTTTTGGGGACAAAAAAGTGAAAAATGAAATATGGAAAAAAGAGAGGACCACCCTTACTCAGCCAATCTTCTCTTAACGGCAATAGAAAGTCTAAAAAGTTTTTTTTTTTGAATCCTTGTAAGAAAGAGTCTTTCTTGTAGTATGCAAATTATAACAATTTTAATACTTTGAAACATGTGATTTGATTTCTTAACAAAATACTTTTTCAGTTAGATCGATTCAATTATTTTCCATTAGATTAGATCAATACCAGTAATTGTTTACTGATTTGATAAATGTATATTGAACTTCCAAAAAAGGTGCCGCAGACAAAACAACAAAGATGTCAACACCAAACTGTTGTATAACTTTCAGTCTCAGTTTCCATTGGGTCTCATTCTACAATTTCAAAATTGTAATTCACACCATTTTCCGGCTCAGTCCAAAAGCGTATATTAAACCAGGTTCTGTCCGCCGCAAGCTCCCTTCTAAGGACTCCGAAATTAGTTTTTTTCGGCCGTCGTGAAGGTTAGCAGGGATAATGTTGACGAGACAGTCTCATTTGTTCCTCCGGCAGACATAAAGATCGACGGCCCTTTCCCCCCTCGCTCACTCCACCTGACAACCTAGTTTCACCTGTCAAGCGCCTCCGAGCCACCACTTACCGGAACCATTTGATTATTTATTTTCCCCATCTATCTATTTTATATCCAAGACCAGACGCCCTTCAGCGCTCGTCTATGTCTGGTCCTCAAGTATGTTTGTTATTAAGAGATTGAACTTGTGAGAGGAGATGAAAAGGGTGCAGCCACTGAGATGTGTTGCTTTTAATAAGTTTTCTTTCTTTCACTCTTTCAGGGGATTGCCGGTAAACCTGGCCCAAGAGGACAGCGCGGACCAACGGTAAGACACCTGTAGATATTTAGTGAGGGCATTGACAAAAATCTATATTAATTTGTTCATCCTGAGTGAATTAAGGAGAAAATTAAAATTTTCAGAAACAGAATATTGAATTAAGTCAGTCCAACAGAATGCGGATAGAACATGTCTTCAAATGTGAAAGAACACATGTATTAGTTATTAAGTTATTTTACGATATTCTTTTGTGTAATGGTAGATGGTGTTATTTTTCAAATAATAATGCATTTTGTATATAATTTTTGGACTCTCAAAATACTGCTGCTACTTTATTTCGATGTTGATTTTGTTCTCTTTGTGAGGCAGCTTACAATAGCTTCAGTACTTTCACAATACCATTTCTGTATCTCGCCAATAGGGGCCTCGTGGTGGTCGTGGAGCCAGGGGACCTACAGGAAAACCAGGACAAAAGGTGAGACCGAAAAAGCTCTTATTCAACATGCAAGATTACACACATTTCACTTGGAGTCCATTGAAATGTGTGTAATTCCCATAAATGAACGGCTGGTTTGAAGCCTTTTACTGCCATGTTCCATACTATACAGAAAACCTTTCTCCTACTGTACAAACAGACATATTTGTCATTCAAACTAACTAGCTGAGACTGTAAAGCTTTCAGAGCCTCAGTGTGTAGACCTGCATTTACAAAATATTTCAAAAGATTCTATTATTATATTTAAGTGCAGTACTAAATCAGAAAATAACAAAAAAAGGGCCTTAGGAATACACATTGACTGCGTTTGATTGTATTATTTTGTGATGGATGGGTTAAAATGGGTTTTCTTTTCTATTGCATTTTGGGTAAGAAATGTAAGACAATAGATTTTCCTAGAATTGAAATGTTAAGACAAATGGCAAGGCAAGTTTATTTGTATAGCACAATTCATACACAAGGCAATTCAATGTGCTGAACAAAAAAAGATAGCAATAAAATCATAAATAATCACATCACATTAAAAAGAAAGATAAAAATATAAAATCCCTCAGTTGTATGCACAGCTAAACAGAACTGTTTTTAACCTGGTTTTAAACATGTGTGTTTATAGAAATCTACATCGGTAACTTGCACACATTGTGTGTCAACAAATTAAGCAATACAAAATAATTGCTCCCACTGTTTTTCAACTGTACATTTTAGTAAAATAAATGTTATAATAAAGGTATATATGAGGGTTTTCTACTTCCGGGAGGATAATCCAGTCTTCAAAAATGTAAAAGGGCGGTTCTTTCCAAAAAATTGGGACAATCTTCCTATATACCTTTAAGGTGTGTTTGCTGCTCACATACTTGTATATGAATTGTTTCTATCCCATTTTCACATAATAATGAATATTTGAAATTGCTCAAGAGGTGTATGAAAGCTCAAAGCCATGAAGAAGGGTGTATTCATTCACATCCAAATCTCCATTCAAACAGAAGTTAGCTGCTGGAGAAAAATCATGACTGGAGATTGATTTTAAACTGAACTAAACTTAAACAGCAAACTCAGGCTTGAACTGAATCATAAGGCAGTTGAATTTGACCAATCACTATCAAAGGCACTTATCTGACCCATTAATTCTCGCTGTGAAGTGAAGTGCTGCGTAGCTTTTTATCATTCATGCCTCGTACTTGTGCTGCTTTGACAAACTTTGACAGTGGTTCCCTGATGTTTTGCTGTTTTGTGTCCTCAGGGCAACTCTGCGAACGATGGACCACCCGGACCGCCAGGAGAGAGGGCGAGTGCACACCTCTTTTATCAACGCCTTTGAAACTGTGACAGCCGAGCCAAAGTTTAGACCACAACTTCTCAATATGCTCTTCATATGAGATGGATGTTTACCTTCATGATTTAATAGTCTAAAACCATTCAAAACGTGGGTAAAGAACATGCAAAACTTTTTGATGCGAGCTATTTTAAGATCGCTCGGAGTGGCCTTTGTGGGGAAATTAACTGGAATAATCGACTAGTCAACCATGAAAATACTTACAATGATCATTTTGATGATTGTCTCTCGGTAATGGAGCCTTTTTCAGACCAAACACTGTGACATATTCAAATGAAAATGCCAGTGAGCTCCTAATTTCTGATTTCTGCTAACAATATATTTAACACAAATGTTTTTCAGCTGTAGATTTCTCATTTGCTTTATATTGCTATATAATGTATAATGTAAATAAAATATTACACATGGTCAACAGAAATACTTATGAATATGTAATGTATGTCAATCTACGTCCTCACTGCTCCCGTACAGCTAATCTCGACAGTAGGCGTTAACAGCGTGAAAGCGTTGACTGCACGCACATGCGCGTAACATTACTTGGCTGTACAGTATGTCCACTGGCCATGCGCGTAGGTCCGCGGCTTTTGAAGCTCTCCCTGTCTAGTCTATGGATAAGTGTAGAGGACAGTATACGGGCCAGAGGACTGATGTAGAGCAACACTAATCACATGTATGTGTTTGTCTTTATGGTTTCTGTGCGCTGGTCTGGCAAGACGCGAGACTTCATGAATGAAAAAAAAAACGATGTCCAGAATCACTGGAAAACTTGCTGCTCCTGCGTGCGTGTGTGTGTGGATGCGATCTAGAGCCAAGGACTGACTGGGAGACGCATTGCTGCGTGCATAACATTAGAAATCCAACCTAAATTAGGCGCTGCCTCGCGTCAATAGTCCGTCATACGCGCGTATACGACTAGTAGTGTAAATATCACCATTAGTTAACATCTAAAAATGTTACGCACGTCTGCTGTGCGTACAACGCGTATGTGCTGTAACGCGTGCTAATTTAACGTGTAAATTAGCAGTTAGATATAGGGTGTGAAGCTCAGTCACACGGCAGGAGCTCGGTGTAGAACCGCTGCTTCTCCACATTGAGATGAGCCAGTTGGAGGTGGCTCGAGCCCTTTGGTTAGGTGTTGTGGCATGTCCCATTGGGAGGAAACCCCAGGGAAGACCCAGGTCTTGCGGGACGGACTGTCTCTCATCTGGCCTGTGAATACCCCAAGATTCCCCAGAAAAAACTGTGTGTGGAGAGGGAGGTCAGATAAAGCGGGATAAAATTAATGTATGGTGTAACATATTGTAGACTATTACAAAAATGTAATTTACAAAGCACAACAAACAATGAACAACTTTGTCAATTCTCAAAACTTTTCTCTCTGTATAATTTGACATTGAACATAAATATGGATGTTTTACTTTTTTCTCCAGGGACCTAATGGACCCCAAGGACCAGTTGGTTTCCCTGGACCTAAAGGACCCAATGTGAGTTTCACCTGTCAAAATATGCTGCTAATTATCACCACTCAGACACACACATTTTCTCTCATTTCTCTTATACTTATCAAATATTAATTTTGAATGTGGTCTGTATTTTAAATTATCTTGTGTCTGCCTCCAGGGGCCAGCGGGAAAAGATGGACTCCCCGGACATCCAGGCCAGAGAGGAGAGACGGTGAGTTCAGCAGATGACAAGTCCAGCCAGAATTGTGTCTCGTTGTTAGGATTTGTTGGACACGTACTTTATATGTTAGATTGTGTAGCCAAACCAGTCATAAGTAGTATTACGACATTTGTATACTGGTGAAAGATGGCATGTTGAAGGCTCACAGCTTAGCCAACAAGACACATGACAGGAGGAAATTCTAATTGACATTATGAAAATAGAGGTGGCAGAAGCTGAAGTGATGATTTGAGGACAAGGAGAAAGAAACCACTGTTGAGGTGGTAATGGGGAGGAGGAGGGTTGTGGCACGAGTCAAAACTGTAGTTGATTACAGTAACTTTAACTTTGGCTGAAGCTGAAGTTGCTTGGAAGAAGCTCAGATTTCCTGTAGTGGGATAGAACTAGACTGAAGGCAGGTGAGATCATCAACATTATTTTTGGAGACCTACTATATACAAGTACACAATGCAGATCTTCAGATGGGAATTGCTACTTGCTTGTCGCCATGACGTTGCCAACCTATTAGAGCCTCTCTGCAAATATCACCAGTATTTAGTTAAACACACCGATCTTTAGAGATACTTATATTGAAATAATCTAACGTACATATAACTGCTTTACTAGTAGCAACCACATTTTTTAGCAGTACATGTGCCCCTGGTTTAGTCGAACACGAGCAGTCCTTCTCAGTCGGCCGGCTTCTGTGATTGACTGAACATGAAAAAGGCATGCCGCTGGAAGCAGCTGTGGCATACAAAGTGAACGTGGAAGTAACACATCAGCAGGGTCCAAATTAATCTTCTGAAGTTCATTGGAGCAGAAACCTTTCAAAGTATTACGTATTTAGATGTTGACATATTTGCCTAATTGAGAGCAGCAGTGATCGGACTGCTAATGAGACATAATATGCAGCTGCAGAATTTGTTTTAAAGTTACAAAGTTTTGTGCGGCTCATAGTTTTTAATGAGCCCGATTTCATGCGTCCAACGTTTTAGGGTTTTCCCAAATGTCAGAAATGTGCATAGAAAATGGGGTACCTAACTTTCAAACCAAACAAAAATGATGGACATTAGGTCATCTAAAAAATGCCTCGCTCTCAGAACAGTTTGGTTCTATCACGAGTTTTCACATGCATGTATTATTTGACCTCTGTCACATAATTAGATCAGCTTTTTCAGACAGATGTGGAAAAGAGAAGGCCAGCCTCACACAACCAATCAGCTCTCAGCCCAATGACTTAAATAGACTCGCAAGGCTCTTTTGTACAATATGCAAGACATATATTTCCATCTGAGATAATGAGATAAAGACAGCCTGTTGTGGTCAGATTTTTTCACATCCAGAAAATGTGAAAACTTTAACAATGCTCTTTCTGTTGAGACAAACAGTATGTGTTAATTATGATACAAAAAGTCCCTGCTTTAACTCCCTGCTTTAACTCCTTAAATGAACATAGTATGTATCACAATTCTTTCTGTAAGACAAGTTACTTTAGAGGAAAGTGAACGGCCCAGAATTCATCAGTAGATCAGTTTCTCACTCTAACTTGCAAAAGTGATGCACAAAGATTCATGAAACCAAAATAATTAAAATGACCCCAGTGGCGCAATTTAAATATATATTGTCAAACTTGAAGAGGATTCAGTTTTTCCCCATCGCACATGCTGTTGCCAATGGTCCTACTAAAATAAGCATTTGCCAAATGATTCAGGGAAGTAAACGTTCTCTTTTCTTTACTCTAAAGTCATATTATTATTTCAAACCATAAGGGCTGTAACAAATTCCTACGTTCTTTAACTCAGCGTGTGCTCATGGTCATTCTTAATACAAATCAGGAAAGGTCAAATGTTGTCACATATTTGACAAACATTTGTATGTGTTTTGACTCCTATTTCATTATCCAAGTGTATAACTGAATATTTGCTTGTAGTTATTACACTGACTGTGTGCAATTTCTTCTGTTGCTGTAAGCTTCCAGAAGTATACAGTGGTTTCCATTCGCCCAAATTCAAATAGCAATAAACAATTGTGTCAATAACAAAGTTATTTGTTATACCTACAAGAGATATTGTAAAATTGTGCGGCAGGTCATACAGAAAACCGCCTAGCTCTGAAGCATTTGTTGCGGAGTTTACCCTTTTCTGGAAGAAGCGAAAAGAAAGACTAAAAAGAAATGAGAACTATAACTTGGAATAGGATCTGTTTTATAAATGTGCCTCCAGCTGAAAAATGCCTGACTTCCGTAGAAACACATAACAATGGCTTTTCTGTTTGCTATTGTACTGAATTGAATAATGAACTTCATACAATGTTGTGTAACCCTTATAACCTCATTTCATGAACTCTCATCCTGTTTTTATAGTAATAAACCAAATGCTTTGATCCACTGCTTATTATTTCAAATCCCTTTACAGGGTTTCCAAGGAAAAACTGGACCTCCAGGACCAGGTGGAGTGGTTGGACCAATGGTAAGCTTGCATACATAGTAACTGTACAGTGGAAGAAAAGTGATAGACCGGTAGACTAGTGCACACTCAATAAGCTCGGGTATTGACCGAAAGGAAGCTTATTATTGACCAAGCACATTTTTTATGTATAATGAACTTTAACACTTGCATCTGAAAAAGACACTTGAGAAGCTTTTCTTGTTTTTTCCTGCAGTTAAAGTTTTTCCTAAGCTAAAGTTTGTTTTGTGGCATGAGGTGAGTCAGTATCATTGTTTATTGTGGTATAATTTGCAGGCAGGAAGAATTTGTGTAAAACATGCAAACATGCAAGTGTGCATTTTTAGAAGCCTCTTTATCGATCCTTCTGTATTTGAATGCCTATCCAAGTTTTGACAGTACATGTAAGTATGACATGTATGACATGCAGTAAGTCAAACTGGGGCTGTGGCATTGCCAAACACTTGCAGAAGAACATGTGGTAATACTTTTAAAAAGTCTATTCAAGTTTATATAAAATAATGATCAGGTTTTGATAGAATTAACCGCTGTTTGGTGATAATGTATTTTGGCTTCAGTGACTTTCCAAGGACGTGGATTTGTCCGGCCATCGCAGATTACAAACTCTCGACTGCGGATATGAAAGAGACAAGTTTATGTTAATCAAAATAGCATTGTTATCCCACAATCATAGAAACTTGTGGAGACTGTGCAGTCACAGATAAAGGCACTGTATTTGGTTAGAATGTTGTCTGTCAAAGGAAGTCACTATTGGAACAGTCTCCCTCTAACAATGAGAGAATGTCCCGCTTCAATGAAAGAAAGCCAAGTCTGTCAGCATTGTTTAACTTAGTTCTACTTGTCTTACCTGCCTGGGGATAACAGATGGAAGTTAGTTTTTCTACTATAAACTGACATAAAAGTCAATTAAGTGTATTTACAGATGTTCAGGAGTGTGCACTGTCCCTATCAAATACATCTGACAACAAAAACAGAGTTTAAAAGGCTTTTTATTCAATGCAACTTGCCTTGTCCAGGGTCCCACTGGAGAGACTGGCCCGGGTGGAGAGAGAGGACACCCAGGAACCCCAGGCCCTCCCGGTGAACAAGGTCTGCCTGGATCTGCCGGCAAAGAGGGAGGAAAGGTAAAAACTTCAACAAATGCATCTCTGAAACATAAGCCCCGCAATTATAAAATATGCATAATTCCATTTAAAATGTGTGAACTGTACCACTAATGTGTTCTCTTTAGGGAGACCCAGGCCCCATGGGTATTTCTGGCAAAGTCGGTCCCCAGGGTCTGAGAGGTTTCCAGGGCGTGAGGGGTCTTCCCGGAGCTATGGTAATGTACAACACCAACTCATTTACTCCAATCACCAAAACATGCACATCGTTTCCCCTTGTGCTTTTCAATAGAATTGCTCCAAACCCTAATTACCAGGCTAACTACCTGCTGTTACACCAAATGTCACGCTTGGCTCAGCAGGCAATGAAAAACTGGCTAATGCTAATCCACCAAAGTCAAAACTTGGATCATTATTATCTGTAGAAGGCTGAATACACAATGTAAAAATAATTGGATGTTTGTTTGGGTCAATTGCAATAGGCAATGGTGTTAATTTATAGGCTTGTTTTAGTTTTAGAGAGAACAGAGACGCTGACTGCTTTGATCAAGATTCAGAACATAACGTGGTGACTCATTGTGCTGGAGTCTTGCTGACTAAACTTAACTCTTTTCTCTGCAGAGGAGTGAAAGTTAAGCATGAAAGAAGGTAGTTAGTTGGCGTGGGAGGATTTGGGAAAAGTTACAACAGGGCATCAGCTAAAAGAGCATGTCTTCTGTCACAAAAAGGGTTCAAATGTATGTTCAAAAGGTAAAGCGGTTCCAACATTACACTTTTTGAAAGGCAGCAACTAGACATTTCTCCAAATTGTTGAGCTCGTTCAAAAATATGTCTTAAAAATGTCATACCAACAGCATGGCCTTGCCTTTCCTACTGTCTGAAAATAATAACAGAAGTGAGTGAAAGTCAGACGTGAAAAAAATCTGGTTTGTCGTTAGAGACTGGAGCCCAAAACAAACAGCACAGCGGCCGACAGTTGAATTATAAAGTTTGTCCCTATCCACAACAGAGAAGGTTTTTTTGTCAATAACTCAATGTTACACAGCAACAATTTCCAACTCATCCAGAAAAATGGAAGTGATTCACAAAAATATAAGGGGAGACCAGTGGGATTCACCATCTTCAAGTCACATAAACCCGGATCTGACCAGGACTGGACTACACCTCAGAACGAGAAAAAACGGAATGAATCATGGCCAAAAATCGGGACTTTCATATTAGGGATTGCATCACATACAAAAAAATAACAATTATTACAGTCTAGTACTGGTCTAAACCAGGGCATGAAAACCCTGTTAATTTATTTAAATTAACGCACTTATGACAAGTAAGACCATTTTTTGTTTTAATTTATTTGACCAAAATTATAATGGTCTTTGGCCTTATTTAGTAACGTTTATGATTTGGAAAGCAAATGTGGCCCGTTCAACAAAGGTCAATGCTCTAAAAATCCATCAATTATTGTACGAGTAGAAACATGACTCTACACGAATGCTCAATGATTAATTTAATATCATTGAAAAGTAGATCATTTTGAAGTTTGTTTTAACTTTTGAGCCAAACACTTCTTCAACTTCGCAAAGACAAAAGCAGCAGTGACACAAATTTATGGACACGCACTCTCCCACACAGACGTCATTTCTGGTCATGAAGAGACAAACAGCAGTCCATAAACAACCTAATAAATAAGTTTAGTGTGTCCATTTAATGTACGCTGCTAAAATGTGCGGAGGTGGAGAGCCCACTTGGCAGCTCCTGTTCCCTTTGGCTCCACTCAGGCCTCTAAATGAGTTATTATAATGGACCAGCTCACAGCGGCTGGTGAGTTGGTTTGCCGCCTCAGTCCACAGTGTTCTGGGGTCCACAACGGCGACAATGATAAATCGCAAACACGGTCAAAATGTTGTCGTCTTTCACTTTGAACAGATTTAGTTGATGTAAATTAAAAATGCTGCGTTGCATTAATAATGTGGACTGGGAGATGCTCTTTTATGTCTTTTGTTATTCACTACAAGAATTAGCATACATTTGGTTTTATGCAACTGAGGTCAGGTTGAACTAGCTTGAACTTTGAGAAAATAAGAAAGCAAGTGAAATGACTTGTTTTAGAACATTTTAAGAATGCGTAAGTGTATAGAATTTAATCATGGTGACCATTTGAATTATTTTTTTAAAAGCACAGTTCATACACAAGGCAACTCAAAGAGCTTAACAAATTAAAAACATGCAAGCATAATCTCAGTATATTAAAAAGAGTGAAGATACACTTCTTCAAGTGTCTGTATATAAGATGATGAATTAAATTATGATTATCATAATTATTATATCTTTATTTAGAAGATCATGTTCTTCAATCCATTGAATTATTTACATTGACATACTATGTAAGTGAGTAAGTAATGTTTATTTATATAGTGCATTTTGCAAACCAGACAGAACAGATTTTACAATGTTCAGAGTTCACTATGGAGTATGGAGTGGTAACACTCAAAAAAAAAAGTATTCTTGATGGTGAAAAAGTACTTGAATCGAGATAAATACATTATAATACAATACAATTTATTCTTGTATAGCCCTAAATCACAACCGCAGTCATCTCAGAGGACTTAACAAAGCCATTGAAATCACTTAAACAGATCAGAGAATCAACAGTTAAGACACAGAAAATACAAGTGTATACAAGTGTATTTTCTGTGTATTATGTATTGTATTGTGTAATTGTGTAATTATGTATTATGTATTGGTCCATAGAGAGAAACCAATGTCCATGAATGTTGATAAATGTCCCTACATGTTGTAGAATGTTAAAGTGTCCTGGATAATCACCACAGTCCTTGCTAAACACTAACTGTCCTACAGACCCTCCTGCATCGGCAAGGAAAAACTCAAAAACCCAGTGGGAGAAAAGTGAGAAACCTTTGGTAGATCCACATTTAGAGAGGGATTCGCTCCACACGGAGAGACGGGCTATAGATCCAGGACCTAAGCTACAGAGCTATGTGTACACGGGCCACGCAGCGGCATGGTCTTGTGCAGGATTGAAGCAGATCCCAGGCGGGTCGGGCAGGGCAGTCCGCAGGAAATGGATAAGGCCGGGTTTAGAGGTCCTGCTGTCACACAATGAAACAGACAATGGGACAACGGGTGAACAGCAATGAACAGACCACAAATCCTAAAAATGTAGACAAATAAAGTAGGAAAGAGGAGAGGATAGTGCTCAAGTTACCATACTTCTCCCGGCAAACTGACTCCCTACGTAGCTTGACTGGCAATCTAAGATGTTTAGCCTTCCCTGAGTCTTTCCTTCCTAACCATATGCTAAACTGAAGAGGACTGTTTTAGCCTAGCCTTGAATGTGGAGACGGTGTCCGAATGAAGGAGAGACAGCAGCAGCCGGCTAGGCTTGCCAGGCTATAGCGTCAAGGAAAGTGTAATCCACAATATATAGTTAGGTGAGGTTCGAGTTTGTAACAAAGGTTGAAAGATGCAGCGGATTGCCGGGCCGGGTCCCGTACAAGTAGACTCCAAAACCAGACTAGCAACCTAACCATCACTGTAAACCCTAACTTCAATCTTACTTCAGATATCAAAGTTATTTTATATAGATTTAAATATTACTCGTTTATTGTTAGTTTATTTAAAGCTTGGCAATACCACTCAGGGCACTCTTTGAATTGAGCTGTCTCTGTTCAAGTAAGCTGCACTTTCGATATTTTGGACATGTACAGTGTTCAAAATGTTAGGTATATTAAAAGCAGGGCAGCAAGGTGGCTGAGTGGGTAGCGCCTTTGCCTCTCAGCAAGAATATTTTGAGTTTACGGGCCAGGGTTTACGCTAAATTGAAGAACAGTATTTTAAGCCTAGTGCAGACCGTGTCTGCTTCATTGACGTAGATGGGAAACTGATTCCACAATAAATACTATGTTCAAGTTTTTACTACCTTTTTTTCTTTTTTTTACCACCGGGTTGTTTTTGTAAGAAATGCAATCAGACGCTACTCAAACATTACAATTTCAAACCACGTACAGTCCGATTGTAATCTCCTCTGAGCTGGTTCAGTAGTGGTGTGAGTGTGTCTGGAGGAGGATGTGGTCTCTGCTGTGATCTCTGCTGTGTTTGACTTTGAGCGGCTCCTGTAGAGATCTGCCCTAACTCTGTGCCTCCTGTTGTTCCAGGGTCCGGCCGGTCTGAAAGGAGGAGAAGGGCCTCAGGGTCCCCAGGGCCCCCTTGTGAGTATTCTCCTTTCTATGTGCAACTCATTTCAAGCTTCTGCAAAATAAATACAATGTCTTCAATAGTTTTTATACTCTAAGAACAGACGATTATGATCACAGCAGCTGAGATTGATTTGAAACGGATATCCTAGATATGCTTGGTATAATAATTAAATCATTAAAAATGATTGTATCCAGGGACCTGTTATCTACACCTCATATTGGACATATTTGTGCCTAACCGTCCTTGAAAAACAAAATGTTTATGCTGAAATTGAATTTGAGGCAAAGGGGAAAGGATAATGACCCTAAACACAAAGCATTTTTTTTCTCATATAGTTCTAACAAAGTGAGTAGGAGGCACTTAGTGAGCGTGACATCACCTGTGGTACTCAGGGGAAACCAGATGACGCCACGAAAGGCTAGTGGTATATCGAGCTGATAATCAACCAGGCTCTTTGGAATTTCATAATCAGTTGCAAAAGGAGGTTGGTCACAACACAAGGGACTGAACACGTTGCTATTATAGTTAGATAGAATATGGAAAAACTTCAGGACCATGTAGAAAGTAAAAACCTGAACATTTAGGTAGACATTTTAAGATGAGTGAGTTTGCCAGCAGCATGATGAATTCCTCTGCAACTCAAAATGCACCCAGGCTTTCTACCTGTTATCCCACTTTTGCATCACTTATTTGTATTATAAATTGAGTATAAAAGCTCTTTTTCCTGTCAGAATACAATTGACCTGTTTGAGGGTTAGGAGAGAACGGGGAAAACAAAAATGTCTCTTTCCAGTCAGCAAATGTTTGCCACCCAGCTTTGGATTGTATCATTTGCAGGATACTCTGCTTGTCTGTCTCTGCCATTCATATGTTGTGAATGTAAGGTCGAGTCCTTGTTCCCATAGCAACTGAAAAGCACATTCAGATGCTATTAAATTTGCCCTTAACCCTTCTTTTTTATTTAAACAATTATCTGTTTTGAGTCCATTTAATAATAATTATGGAAGAACTAGTCATAAATGTTTGAGTGATGAATTCTGCTATATTGTGGCTGTTCTGTTATCCTTATTATTTTTATCGCGGTGTCAGTTTAGAGCTTTTAAAGGGAATGGCATGGTAATAGTCAAATAACTTCTCCCTCTTTTTTAGTTTTTGCTCTGCACCCCTGAGGAGCAATGAAAGCCCCTATCCAGAGTTTTGTTTGCTTGGTGATTTTGTATTCAAAAAATGTGAGTGGCAGGCAACTTTGAACCATCTGACATGTTGTTCAAGCGTTAAATGTAGGCTCGCTATAATTGCCCGTTTCAGGCGACGGATAAAATAACATTGGATATGTAGTTCAATGTAGACGGAAATGAAAGAAAATGCTACCATTCCACATGCCAAATTGGATGTTTTATTCATGGGGTTCATTGGTCACAAACTTCCAATTGATCATTTTTAGGCAATGTTTAAAAAAAGAAACCGTGGGCTGGGACCAGGTAGCAGTTAGCACAGGCAAGAAGATGAAAGGGAGAATAGGTGTGCTGTGTCTGTGTTGATATTCCATGAGACCAGCGCATTGTTATTATTCATTTGAACATGGTAAATTGTGCGTCTACAAAGCATGCAGATAATGCTTTCAAAGGCATTTTTCTTAACTTTGCACTAGCACTCAAACTTTTGGAACTGCAATTGTAAATGCTAACATATTGTATAAGGCAAGCAGGCAAGTGCAACATTGTGTTTATTGTGTGATTTATTTTCACACATGCTCAAGTCATTTGTTTTCTATTGCAAAATAACACTCCCAATAGGACTCCCAGAAATATGGAACTCCTAGAACTCCCAGAGCTGTAATTTTGACTGCTCCTATTCAAACCAAAGAAATTCTGAGAATTGTCCTTAAAATATTTAGTATTTTACCAGATTTGTCAATTTATAAGTCATTTATAAGGTTTTTAAATTGACTCACTTTTAATAAGTGCTAAAACCTGTTGATATAACTTTAATTACAGCAAAAATGGTCATCAGCACTTGCTCAACCAAAACCAGTCAAAAACCAGTCCAGGGGCAGCACCTTGAAAAAAACAACCATAAATGGCTACTTTTGAATTTTAGCTAAAGGTAGAAAAACTCACAATTCAAAAATAGAAGGGAATTAAAAGGTCATTTCATTAATGAAATGACATAGAATAAAATACACACTCAGAAAAAAGTCACAACGTTTTGAGGATCAAAGGGTACATGAGCTGAGTAATTTCACTTTTAAAACTAAGTTGTCAAACTGAGATTGAAAGTTAAACTCACCATGTTTTCTGCTTTTTCCTCACATAACAAAATGATCAGAATTAGGCGCTAATATGCCTCTAAATTAACACATTTGTGTTAGAAGAATGACTTTTACCTGCACTCTTACTGTAAATACCTCTGCCAACCATGTCTCAGTAATATCCGGTTTATGTGGTTTCATCCAGTTGCACCAAATTGACTGGTTATTCACAACTTAATTGGTGTGCACAGGTTGGATCTTACTCACTTGAAAGAGATAAGACTAGGCGAGTTTTCTGTGTTTCTCTAGTGCTTTGTAAACATTCTTACTAATAAACAGAACAGCTCACTTCGAGCTGAAAACTGCAGCAGTCATAATCACTCATCACTGGCTTTGTTTGGTGTGACTTGCTACACCTCATAGTCATATATTGTATTTGCCGCTTGAGTGCTTTGCCTCCCTCTTATTTATAGCTACTTACAATTATCCAATACATTCAGGCTCATTCATCAATTTAACAGTAAAATAAAGTAAAAGAAAATATGCTGCATGAAGAGATGAGGCTCATCAGTGCTGCAGAAGGTCCTTCCGCAAGTGCAGTGCCTCAGAAAGAATGAATACACCTTGAACCTTTGCACATTTTGTCAGGTTTACAATCATAAACATAAAGTTTTATTTTGAATTATGTCCTGAAAGTTTACACACAAGTAACAGATAACTGTGAGGTGGAAGCAAAATGATACATGATTCTGTTATTTGTCAAAAATAGAAAACCAAGAAGATTCATAGAACATGAGTTAGAACATTGTGGAACACCGTTTGCTGCAATAACAGCAGCATGTCTTTTGGGGTAAGTATGACCCTACAAGATTTGCACATCTAGTGACAGAAAGTTCAGCTTATTTCTCTTTACAAAACAACTTTGGCAGATTTGATGGAGCGCATTCGTGAACGGCAGTTTTTCCACATCTTTTCTATTGGATTTAGATCTGTCATTTGACTGGGCCATTCTAACACATGAATATGTTTTGTTTTAAACCATTCCAGTGTAGAGTTAGCTTTGTGTTTAGGGTTTAGCATCCTACAGGAAGGTAAATCTTTGCCCCAGCCTCAATTCTCCTCTTGCAGGTTTTCCTCCAAAACGTATTTAGCTCCATTCATTTTTCCAGCTATTCTTAGTCTTCTCTGTCCCCGCTGAAGAGAACAGCCACATAGAATAATGCTCCCCCCACCATATTGGACACTGGGGATGGATGGTGTACCTCGAACGATGAGCAGTGTTAGGCTTGCCTTATACATAACATTTTGTGTTTGGGCTAAGAAGTTAATTTTTTGTCTTGTCTCTGACCAAACCACCTTCTTCCACATGATAGCTCTGTCCCCCTTATAACTTCTGACAAACTTCAAACTAGTTTTATTGTGGCCACCTTTCAATAATGCCACTGATTCAAAGGTGGCCACAACTGATGTACAGTTTCCCCCAGCACAGTGGCAGTCCTTCCAAATGTCTCTTTCTGACCAATGCTCTCATTGTTTGAGCTTCCAGTTTGTTAGTTAGGTGGATGGCCATGGTGAACAGTACTGTGTGAGATTATCAAATCTTGATATAACTGAACGCTGCTTCAATCTCTGACTTCTCAGGTGCTCCTTAGCCTCTATGAGGCTGTATAGTGACCAATACACTCCGAGGCCCTCACAGAACAGTTGTATCACACACCTCTACCAACTGCTCTGCTCTACCAACTGAGCCACTGTCATAATGACTGATTGACAGAGTGGCTGGGGGCTGCCTTAGTGGCCGGTGGTGAGGGGCTCAGCCACCGGAGGAGCTTGGAGTACAGCCGCTGCATCTTGGGCATTTGTGGATGCCCTCCTGTACATCTGGGCAAGTCACACTGGGAGGAGACCAGGTATAGACCCAGGATATGTTGGAGGGACTTACCTCTCAGATTTCCCAGCAACAGTTAAAGCAGAAGAAAATAGATGGACAGATGGATGGAAGAATGCGGTGAACAATATACGCAGCTAAAGACTGTGCATTTCTTTTTTCTAATCACTGACAGCCTTCACTGTTTTTGCCAACTTTAAAAAATGCTTTCATTATTAGAGGGGGAAACTTGGTGCCCACAGACTCACTAGGGATCTGATATTTCCTACTATTGATTTTCTGCCGGAAATGTAGCATCTTCAAAATAGAAAATGTGCCTCGAAGTCAGGGCTGGTGTGGAGTTTCTTTGATTTCTGTGGGAGAAATGTGGTTAAAGCAAAAAGGAGAAGGACGGCGGAAGGACTGTGGTGCAAAGCCAGACAGCTGTTTGAAAGTATTTCAATAAACATCACATAATTATAGAGAATGCATTCTTCTGAGATATGTTATATTGGACATTTATAAAACATTACATTAACGATTTTCCTTTTCTTAAAAATCACATTAGTGGGTCACATCTTTAGCCATGTTTAATGACTATTGAGTGTGAGCTTATTATGAATTTTTGTATGGTAGTTTTTCTATTATAAAGTTTGTTAAAATTAAAATTGCAGTTGCATATTTAACATTGCAGATTATTTATTTTGAACCTGCACAACGTATAACAGACAAATAACAAGTACATGGTTCAAAAAGGGGTTGAAGCAAATGTGTATTAGATTCTAACATCAGTCATGTTTGCCAAACAAGACACCGCTATAACAATGCCATGCAGCTGAAGACGCATCCAGTATCCAGAACATACAGTAATATTATACAGTACATGACACTATCACAGATGGTATAAGAATGACTAAACAAAACCCACACACAGAGACAACACACAGGCCCAGATACTCTTTAGTTGATGTAGTATTATTTGAATTAAGGATTAAAAAAAAATATTTATATATAGCTCATGCCTATATAGTTGTTGTTAAATACAGAAAACATGTTTTTTTTTTGTAATTAGGGCATATTTTTTTGTTCTGAATGGAAAAATGTTATTAAGATACACATAGTCTTTTTATGTTATGTATTCTCACTGAAACTCACTTGTCAAGGAAGGAAACAATGCAAAATAACAATTAAAAAAAAAAAAAAAAAAAAGGAAAAAAATTATTAGTATTTGGATCACTGTTAGGCTCTGTATTTGAATGGTGAAGTTGTTGTTGAGTCCATTCCACACCTGGATGCACATGGATGGTCGCACTGAAGCGCCGCTATAGGGAAGAAGCACCTGGCGGCCACATGAAAGACTCTTCAGCCTTTGCCAAGATGTCCACACAGCCAAGAGCACTCAAGCAGCTCGCCTCAGCACTGTTTCACAATGGGTTGAGTTGTACAGGTCCCATTAGCTGCTGGAGGGCAGGAAAAAGCTACGATCAACATAAAAAAAGGTTTGACCTGCATATGTTCATTATCTCTGTAATTACGGAATCTGTCCAATACAACAACAGCAAAAATCTGTGGACTACTCTGATGTCAAAAATAAATTGTGGAGGAATAGCATGACATTAAGACCAACTTGTGCACAGTATAAATGTGTTACCTCCTGTAAACGTAAATAGATTGCATACTCTAAGCATTTGAATTTCTGGTTGACTTGCATACATTGATTTCAAAAGAAAATTGTACCATTTATTGTGTTGTATTTTTAGCTGGTTTCAGGACTACTTAATTCTTGGTGGTGAAAATCAATTCTATGTGTAACACGAGGACCTTGTCTGGATAAATGGTGGGAAAAGGCCCCAGATCAAAGATGTTATTAGGTTTATGTGAACGTTCCCCTTCAGTCCACACCTGGTGCATTGAGAGGCAGGTAATAGGATTCGGCCTTGAGTATGAGCTGAAGGAGAGCAATTTCAATATAAAGAGGTGTTCCTGTCCTGCAGAGTTCTGAGGTCAGAGTACTTTGAAGCCTCACACAAAAGCTCAAATCTACTTGACTTTTCTTTTATACATTCGTAGACTCAAGGTTTTTTTTAAATTGTTCATTGGAGTGAGATGTTCTCTTTTTACATGTTAAAGACTACAATCTTTTGAAGACATTGTATGAAAGCTAGATGTGTTACATTTGTCAATATGTAACACAACAATCAGTGCTTTTTTCCTGAGCTAAAGCTGGTATTATTCATCTTTTTTGTAGGGTTCTCCCGGAGAGAGAGGTGCTGCAGGTCCAGGAGGTCCCATTGGAACTACAGGACGCAATGGACCCCAAGGACCCCCCGGCCCAGCAGGAGAGAAGGGAGGACCTGTAAGTGTCTGCTGCAGATGTCCAATTGGTTATAATGTGGTCAAAAGGTGCTCTTAGACGAAAAAAAAAACTGCAATACTCCTACACAAATTGTACTGTATATAAACAGCAGATCGAAATCTCAATTTCCAACTATTAGCTTGACCAAGGCACAATATTTTGACCTCAGTCTGGTGACACATGTGTCAATATACACTTTACACTACCTGTCTTATTAGCTCCCATGGTAGGACTGCATACATACAGGCAATACATTAGGAAAAATAAACTTAGTGCTTGACAAATTAGTCAAGTTCTGTTCTGCTTATGAAATAACTTGACTCGCTTTGCTTTGCCTGACGCTCTTTTCAGGGAGAGAAGGGTCCGATAGGTCCAGCTGGCAGGGATGGTATCCAGGGTCCTGTGGGTCTGCCCGGTGCTGGAGGTCCTCAAGGGCCTCCTGGAGAGGATGGAGACAAGGTAACGTTCTTTCAGTTGCAAAGTCTCAGAAATGTTTAAAACAAATCTGACCCAAGATGCGCTGTGGTTGGTAGACAGTGGCAGTTATGGGACCTCCAAACACAGCAATGCAACAGACGCAACAGCCCAAAAATGTATCATATTTGTATTCGATATGGCTGTCTTCACATGCAATTATTTTCTGATACAACCTAAAGGATGAATTATAAATGATTTGAATCCAGGTGTTGTTGCAAGAGAGAGTGTAATAGAAGCGTAGGTTTGAAAGTACTTTCATCTGCGTGCAACAACCATAACTCCTTTTAGTTTAGGCTTTTCTGAGACACCTTTCTTCTTTGCACCAAAGTCGGCTTCACACTCACGTTTAGCTCAGACCAAAGGCAAGGAGCGGATCAAACGCTACAGGTGAGAAATCTCTCAGAGTCAAACATATTCAGCACTAAAAAATACTTGAGACCAAGAAAGTTCTGTTTCCCTAGTGTCATATGTTAGAAGTTGTGGCCTGGGTTTAAAAATCAGCTTTAATACACACACCGTAGAGAGACCAAGAGGTTTTGGTCTTGCTCTAACCCTCTCGTATCATAACTCATTAGAAGTTGTATGTATAGGAATGTTATCCCCATGTATATAAGTAAGAAGTCTGTATTTATCTATTGTCTTTCACAGGCCAGAGTCACAAAGCGCTTTACAATTGTGGCCATTCTGTCCCTCATTCCACACAGTGATGGGAGCAAGGTTTTAGAGTGATTTAAAATATGTTCATGTTCAAACAATGTCCTTTATGTTCTATTGTTATTGAGCTCATGCTTGTTCAACTCTACTGTTTAAATAAAACAGCACATAAGGAATTTAATATATTCCTCTTCCAATCAGCTGTGTAAATAAAACATACAACAATAATCAAAATAAACTCTATTTCCATCCATTCAATAATTCCATCTGCATTTTCATCACCTGCAGATAGTGTGTGCCCTGTGGAAAATTACATTATTTCAAAGCAATCCCCCACACTGGTCACGTCTTGTAACAGTTTGTCAATCACACTGCCATCGTGTCCAGACCATAAATTAATTACAAAAAAGGTCCTCTCCCGGGTTCAATCAAATTAGCACCTGTGGGGAAATATTTACTGCTTCGAACAGGTACAAGCAACACTTAAACATATTGACCAGGGACATGTTGCTAATGTATTGTGACTGATGCTACCCTAAGATGTTGTCATTATTTTTGATTTGCACAGGTGAGGGGATTGGGTAAAGCAGACATAGTAAACAAACTTGTAAATCAAATTGTAAATATCACATAGGCTTGATTTTATATTTGAAAAGGAAGACTAAAAAGTATTGATCTTTTAGCCTGACTCTCTCCAGACCCTTGTAGTTTGGCCATGCTCCACCAGAGGCGTTTCGCTTCACACACAAGGGTCTGTTATCGAGCGCATTGCAAACTCCTTCAGGAGATCAAAAAATAATCGCCGGTGTTACGTCGGATTTGCACTGCCTTCTCGAGCGTATCTCCAAGATGGTGGACATAAAATACGAACAAATTAAGACACGGATGTCACTTTTAATGCAATATGAGGCGAGATGTTGATGGTTCCATGTAGTTATATATTTGTTTTAAAGTCAAATGAGTCAAATGTTCATGTAAAGTTTGGTTTAAGTACTGCTTTAAGTGCTCAACACTACGCAGCAGGGTTGCCAGGTTGGGTGGTTTCCAGCATACTTTTTTTCCAAGAGACTTGTAGGTAATCAATAAACAGAATCATGATAGCCCAAGTTGATTACATTTCGTTTTAAGCCAAAAAATATTTCTGGGTGTTTTTTTTTTGGGCATTCTCGCGGGTTTTGGGCTTGAAAATCTTGCTGGCATTTGGCAACTCATTGGAGTCGTGTGCTAAATTGTGTGCTTCAATGTGAGTAGTTAAGGAACACGTCATCCATGATAATGTGTACTTGACATCGGTTACCTGTGGGTGACAATGTTTTTTTTTTGTACTGTCCCTGTCAAAATAAAAAATACGTAACAGGAAAGTGATTTATCCAATCACATACAAGGATTTTTGTACAAGGCCATGCCTTCTGAAATGTATCCGCTATGGAATAGATCCAGACCCATGTGAGAAGCGTAGCGATCTACAAGGGTCTGGCGAGAGTCAGGCTATTGGTCTTTATTCCTTAATGAAGAAGCTACAGCAACTTACTGCGGATATATGTTTAGTATGTTTAATGTGAGATTGTACAATATTTAAAGAAAAGAGGTCTGGACCAACTGATCAATCATTGCAAATTAGTTTTATTCAATGATCGTCAAATAATTTTGATAGTTGCTTTATAGACTGGCTCCATCACATGTAACTGCGTTGTAAACAGAATTACTTAAAAGTAGACAAAAATGTCGTCAATCAATGCATGTATCTATCTATCTATCTATAGAGAAGTCGTTGTGTTTAGGTCCTATTGTTGGATTATGTGTTACCATGGCACTTCTTTTTCCATCTCATTATTTTTTTTGTTTCTCCAAAAATGCAGAAATGTAAACACAAATGTTGTATTCACCACAAGACTCACTCCAAAGTATTTTTAGTCATTGATAACTCACATGTAACTTATAAATGCTGACTCATCATCTCCACCCACAATGTCCTAAAGATCTTCTGTTGTTTGTTTCAGGGTGAAGTTGGCGGACCGGGACAGAAGGGAAGCAAAGGAGACAAGGGTGAAGGCGTGAGTCATTATTTTGAATTCATGATGACAGGTTGTATTATGATTCATTAAGTTTTAAATGAACTGCTTTTTTATGCGAGTCAAGTGATAAATTTTAACTGTTTAAATTACACAACATGATGAGAATGTTCGGAGTGATTCTGTCGTCTTTAGAGATGTTGCTCTCACTGCTGTGCCTGCAAAACACTTATTAGTCATCAATGTGTCCTTAAAACAAGTCTACATATACCCTTATAAATACTCTTTTCAACCAAGTTTTCCGAAATTCCTGGTATTTAATCAGTTAAAATGTTTGAGAATGTTTCTGGTAAGTTTTTGGCCCACTCCTCCTGACAGAGCTGATGCAATAGAGTCAGATTGATGGGCTTTCACTGAGACTGAGGTCAGGGCTGTGAAGGCCACTCCTACACCTGACCTTGTGTCCTTGACCGACGTCTGTGCAAGTTTAGAAGTGTTCTGGGAAGTATTTTTAACAATCAACTGCGACCAAGCTTCAACTCCTTTTACTGGAGTTGTGAGATGTTGTATTGCCATTGTAAGTCAACAGAACTCACAAATTCAGAATTTGCTTTGGTATATGGTGCAAGTATTAAAACAGACAAAACGAGATATAAAGACATGCATAAACATCACTTCACTGAGATTTGAGATGGAATTTTCTCCTCCAAACGTAATTTGGTTTGATTATCAGGAATTGCTGAAAAGCCAGATGTAAAAAGTATGTATGTAGACTTCTGGTTCCATCAGTAAATATCAAATCAGCAGGGATTCTTATGCAATATTATATTTAGTATGTATCGCAGTCAGTTTGTGTATTTGTTATTATACATCTGAAATATGCAGATTATATCTTGTGAAGTTATATTTTACCTAGAAACTTGTTTGCAGACCAACACAATCATAGATTCAGACCACTTTTTTATTCCACCAGGGGAAATTCATTAGAGCAACATAGGGCCAAAACATGTTTATAAAAACAAACACAGGAAATAAACAACACAAGCGAAGTGAAGCCCATACACACACTTTTATCAAATTCAAGACAAGCTTAAAACACTAAAGTCCATATCACCAAAAAAATGCAGAGGGTTCAGCTGCCTATAACAGGACACACAATTTTAAGAGACGGTCACTTAAAATGTATGTTTGTTTTTTCTTCGGTTTTTGTTCAATACTCTATAATACTTAATATTTGTCATTTTGCATTTGTTGCAGGGTCCCCCAGGCCCTAGCGGTCTTCAGGGCGTGATCGGAGCTCCAGGGCCAGCTGTAAGTTGTCTGAACTTTGAAGAAATTAATATTTTAGATAGTGTTTTAAATTTTTATTAGATACAATAGTTGGAGCTTGAATAATAATTCAACTCTGGACGAACTGTACTGATTACAGATTAACCAGTGCTACTTCTGCCTTGCCTCTTCTTTCAGCATTCACACTAAATTACAACCTTCACTTTGGTTTAAAAACATATTTGACAACCCTATAATTACAGTATTTGTCCATCAAAAATCTTGTTGTGCTTCATAACCACTTCTTCGCTTTGGTCTAATGCATAAATAGTTGTACTAATGCCACATTGTTAGCCAATACGGAAAACGCATCCGTATAATGAAGGCGATCCCCTGCTACGATTCAAACAGGGTGCCCCAGTTAAAATCATAAAAAAGTAAAACAAAAAGGTTTTCTAACATATTTAATTCAAAGTGCTGTCTTTCGGTCTGCTCTTTATGGAGCTGCAGCCTTAATGGGTCAGAAACAATGCAGTTAAGCTTTTATGCTAATTCCTAATATAGTTTTAGCGGTCCCCAAGTGTGACTTGAATGTAAAACAACCCTTGCTCACTGCTTTTGCACGGATTTCAATTTGGCATCATGTGAATATTTAGGATTAATAATGAAAAAAATAGTACATAGTTAGTGTGTACATTTAGTTAGACACAGTTTTAAAGTTACATTGTGTATTCTGTTTAAAAGCATTTTGTGCAGTCTAGCTTCAGTTCGGGACTCAGAGATCTAACAAGATTTGCCCTGTTACCTAAGAAACATTGAATAGTTTTGTTTTGGAGGGTTTTCTTCTTGTGCGGCCTTGGAATATTTTTCTATATTTTTTTTATATAATGTTTTCCATTATTATTATTTCCACCAGCAAGGCAAGGGAAGTTTTTTGTATGGCACAGTTCATACATAAGGTAATTCAAAGTGCACAACAAAAAAAAGATAGATACAATGACACAAGGCATTCAATTCATAAATAATCACAGTACATTAAAAAGAGTGAAGATACAATCCTTCAGTTGTATGCACAGCTGAACAGAACTGTTTTAACTTGGTTTTGAACATTGTCAGAGAAAAAGCCTGTCTCATATTTTTAGGAAGACTGTTCCAGATTTGAGCTGCATGAATCTGAAACGCTGGCTCCCCATGTTTAGCCCTGATTCTAGAAACAAACACTTGTGAGAGCTAAGAACTAGTTACATGGATATTATTACTTAGTTTGTTTTTTGTGGTTTCAGAGTTAGGAAATCCAGCGTCAACAATTATGAGCCATTACAGTTGTCTTGATTTTCGTTCAATCAATTGTCTAAAAGTTACAATCAGGTCCTGGTCTCTCTCCTCTCCACTGTTCGTTGCCATTAACACAGCAGCCAAACTCCTGTTTCGACATTAGCTCTGAGCCCGGAGGCAGCTAGCAACTCTGTGCACAGAATTACCGGACCCTAACAATCCATGGTGCAAGCGCTCCCATAGTTAGAGCGAGCTCTGCGGAGGGCAGGACAAGTTCGGTTGAGATTTATTAGCCCTAAGCAGCAGCATGCACAGGCTCCGGCAGCTTTGCAAATTATTTAACAGTTGCACTTGCGTTTGGAGACAAGAATCATGACTGAAGATATTAACTTGAGGGTTTTGTGCAGCGCTTTTTATTATACAATACAATAGTGTGATTCAGGATCAATGCTTTACCCATACATGCCCTAAACTACGTGAATAGGATGTTTTCATGTTGTAGAATTCTATGTCAGTTGAAGGACAGGTGCCCTCCACCAGAATGTTAAACTATTTGCTTTTGGCATGTCCATAACTTTAGAACACATCATTACAAGCATATTCTAAAAAAATGGCTCATCTACAATTCTACACTAATCTAATAACAATATTATTTTTACCAGTTTGGCAGAACTTTTACACCTTTATTATTGTCTTCATCACTGTGCGCATTTATCAAATTAAAATGTATCTGGCTCCATGCACCTCCCAGTCTGTCGGAAATGTTTGTGTGTGTTTTGTATTGGAAAAAGAGCTAATGACCCGATAAGTCTTTTAGCTAAAGTGTAATGAGCTTTGCATTCATCTGCGCAGCTGAAGCTAAAAGATCTTTAAGGAGGCGGGCGTTTACAATGGAACCATCAGTCTGGGGGCTATTACTGGGGGAAAAATATCCCCAAGCCAAGTTGAGGAATAATTAGCATGTTTTATTTAAGCCCGGCACAGTATATCTAAGTGTATGTTTGGACGTGATGCTCACATATTTTCACTTAAATGAGGAGTCAATAATTAGGCACGTACACCACCACTACATAGAAAAGAAAAATAAAACAATTTCAATTTTTTTTAGTTAATAATTAATTTGTTAGTTAATACATTTTTCATGTTGAAAGGCAAAATTATTTTTTCACACATGGATTTTCTAGCAGAGCAACTTTGTATTGTCTGTAAAGCTACACAGTTTGGCATTATTTTTTTATGTCTTGCTCCTGTTCAACTTCAGACACATTTATTGCCCTGTGGTGTACCAGAATGCCTCCTTGGAGTAAGAAGTGTTTACCGCCGTACTGTGGAATACAGACAAGCAGTAACTTCTTTCTGACCATTGGGACTCTATTCTACAAAAACATGGATTTCCACTTTTGCTGATTATCATGCAAAAATGGGTCTTCCAACATGACCTAGTATTTACATAAAAAAAGTCAGTATCTTCAAACTTGTCAAAGGATGAATATGCCAGAATTAATATTTTTTGTCTTAGTCGTTTTTAAAAATTATTTATAACAGTTCGGTGGCATGATAACTACCAATTAGATTTACATAGGGATACAAGTGTAGTAGGTAATTCATGGATTTGTATTTTTAGTATGTAATCTCAATGGCTGTAAACACAAAGGACGACACACTGTTTGTGCTGGTGAACTCCCTGTGGGGACCGCTCCTGATGCGAGGCGTGGAGGTGAAAGATGCAGATTTCACGGCTGCAGTTGTAGGCGGTGGATGTGGAGGAGAAGTGCTGACAAACTCAGTTCAAACGGGTGTCAGCACTTCAAAGTCTCTGCAGCCGTAGTCCTGGGACAGAGGCAGGCTCCAGCTCCAGGGTGAATGCAGAAGAGTTTAAGGGGAAAATTATTCTGTGGAAAGAAGAGAGCTCTTTTCAGATTTTGCACAAACACTGGACTCAAGTTTTAGTTTATGGCGTTTTCGACGTGTCCAAAAACATAGTAAAACAGAAACCAGGCTTCTTACCTTTACCACCAATCTTTTCTGAAATTGGGAAGTGTTACAATATAGGATACATCAGGGGTCCTTTCAGAGCCAAGTTGAATACCCCTGGACTATATGAACCGATTTGCAAATACAAGATTCCCACAAATTTCAGCAATGTTTATACAACCAGATTTTCTGTCATAAGAATACATTGCAAAAATTAAAAAAACATAACAGGACCACTTTTGGCCAGATTTTTACATACTGCTCTTTTAAGTATTTTTAACCCAAAATGTTTAAAAAATAGAAATTGTTACTTTTGTGTTAGTTCTGAATGTTAATATTGTGTGATGTTTTAATGTTATTATCTTCAGGAAGACTGTACACCTGTCCAGTGACTGCAGATGAAAAATAGCCTACTTGGCAAATCTTAGCGCATTTACAGAAATGTTTATTAATGCTTAATGTCCCAGTCAAATAAACTAAAACAATAAAATAAATAAGCAAATGAAATATGTCAAGACCACAAAAATATCTAATCGCACGTTATACTATAGTTCAAACTTGTATTCAAAGCTTGTGTAAAAAATGTTTTATACGTATTGATATTTGTTTTCATCTTAAGGCCTATATTTGTCATTATTTAACTGTGTTTATATTTAGATTTGATATTTAGATTTAATAATAATAATTTAATTAACCAAATATTGAAAGTGCCTTGTATCAGCAATTTCTAAAAGATGCTTCGCTCTTCTAGTCAGCACTATAGGAGGACCTTCTTGTAAAAAAGGACAATTCATTAAAATTGGCAAAGCAATTTAAACTCAACCTTGAAAAGTGCGTTGAAACTGTCCATTCCATCTGTGTTCTGCAGCCTGCTGGTTGTAGTGGCTCTCCTCCATAACCTTGACCAGGATTAGGAGGAAACCCCATCACAAGTCCACATGTAGTTTATGCTCTTGTTTTTTTTTTCAGGTTTAGGGTTAATTGATGTCAGACTGAGCATATTTGAACTGTAGTACTTCTGACCTCCACCAGGGTACCGACGGTGAGGCAGGTCCCCGGGGACAACAAGGGATGTTTGGGCAGAAAGGAGACGAAGGACCCAGAGGTTTCCCCGGACTTCCAGGACCCATCGGACTGCAAGTGAGTGCACGAACCCAGCAGCTATGCATCCATGGTACTTGAAGACAACCGTTGTCACAATGTACACATTTTCTTTATTGATCCCCAAGTTGCAACTGAAAAAGTACAAAGCAGTTGCACAGTTACATAAAAATAACTCAACTGTATGTGCTGCCGATTAAGAATGAGGAGCCTTGATTTGTCTAGACTGAGATCATATAATAAGAACTATTCTTTCTGGTGTTACGGCTGGCTCAGGGCCATAACAAATAGGGGGTTTAAAGTGCTAAGAATATATTTAATATTAACAGAAGACAAGTTTAACATTAACAAAAACAAGGTATGAGGTGTGAGCATGTAGTAATCAGTAGTGTGGTGCAGGTGTATGAGTGCGATGAAAGCCAGTGTGTGGTGTGCAGTGAATGTGGTGCATAAAATGAAAGACTAACTCAAATGTGCAAATAAGGAATGAGCATAGTGGCTCCAGGCAGAGCCCACCAGGACAGGACCAAACGAGAGAGCAGCACAAGAGAGAGTGAGCAGCTCCCAGCTGAAAAGGTCCACTGATGAGGGGCGTGGCATGGTGCAGGAGTGTACCTGCACAGAGGAGGAGACGGCAGAGTAGGCAGGCAAACAGAGACAGCACCCTCTCCTGGACAGTAAGGGCCTGGCCCGTAACACTGGGGTACCTAACATATTTTAAGTAGGTATGTCAATATTATCGCGTTAACGCACGTTAATTAATTTTTTTCATGAATCGCGTTAAAAAAATTAACGCATTTGATGCATGCCCATGCGTCCCATAATAACACTCACAATGCCGCGGACACGCGTGTGTGAGATGGGGACAGAGCAGGTAGGCCTTCTGGGAATCCAAGTTTTGAAAGAATACACGCGTGACCGCGGGGCACTTGTTGTTTCCTGTATGAACTCTGCATGATGAGCTGCTCACGCCACAGCGCTCTGGACAGCAGTTCCCACTTCCAGCGGCTGTGATCACGGCGAACGGCGCTGCGTAATGGGATCATATCCAAGACCACGCACAGAACTATTCTCTAGTGTGCGTACGTGTGATTAATTACGATTAATTAATTACATAATTTTTATGCTGTAATTAACTCGATTAAAGAAATTAATCGTTTGACAGCCCTAATTTTAAGGTAAATGTTGTGAAAAATGCACATCATAAGATTGATATGTATTGCATCAGAAAATGCCCTGTGGTTATTCACTATTTGACGCTTTGGTCAGAGAGCTGAGTGATTGTCTTAACTCAGTGACTGCCAGCCATTTTTGATGATTTCACTGATTTTCGAGACCCACAGAATATTGTGTGCAAGGACTATGTGAAATATGAAACCAGATTCTGAAACATTGGACTGTCTACTTTCAGCAGCAAAAATAATTTGATTTCTAGCTAGTTTTGTTGTCCTGTAATCTCCAGTCAAATAGAGAGAAGTTTGACAGAAGATAGATACTTCAATGGCAGTCAATGAGTTAATAAGCAAATCTTTATGTGAGAGTTCAAGAATGCATGCACATGGTTTGGATAAAACCAAACTGTTTTAGGAACTCCATTCCATTCCATCTTCTTCCGCTTCATCCGTTGCCGGGTCGCGGGGGCAGCAGTCTAAGCAGAGACGCCCAGACTTCCCTATCCACACATACTTCCTCCAGCTCGTCCGGGGGGACCCCAAGGCGTTCCCAGGCCAGCTGAGAGACATAGTCCCTCCAGCGTGTCCTGGGTCTTCCCCGGGGCCTCCTCCCGGTGGGACGTGCCCGGAACACCTCCCCAGGGAGGCGTCCAGGAGGCGTCCGGAACAGATGCCCAAGCCACCTCAACTGGTTCCTCTCGACGTGAAGAAGCAGCGGCTCTACTCCGAGCTCCTCCCGTGTGACCGAGCTCCTCACCCTATCTCTAAGGGAGCGCCCAGCCACTCTGCGGAGGAAGCTCATTTCCTTTCGGCTCAGCTCCCTCTTCACCACAACGGTCCAATACAGCGACCGCATCACTGTGCACGCTGCACCGATCCGCCTGTCAATCTCACGCTCCATCTTTCCCTCACTCGTGAACAAGACCCCGAGATACTTGAACTCCTCCACTTGAGGAAGGACCTCCCCACCCACCTGAAGAGGGCAAGGCACCTTTTTCCGGTCGAGCACCATGGCCTCGGATTTGGAGGTGCTGATTCTCATCCCAGCCGCTTCACACTCGGCTGCAAACCGTCCCAGTGCATGTTGCAGGTCCTGGTTCGTTGGAGCCAGCAGGACGACATCATCCGCAAAAAGTAGAGATGAAATCCTGTGGTTCCCGAACCGGACCCCCTCCGGCCCCTGGCTGCGCCTAGAGATTCTGTCCATAAATACAGTGAACAGAACCGGTGACAAAGGGCAGCCTTGGCGGAGGCCAACATGCACCGGGAACAGGTCTGACTTACTGCCGGCAATGCGGACACAGCTCTGGCTCCGGTCATACAGGGACCGAACAGCCCTCAGCAGAGGACCCCGGACCCCGTACTCCCGGAGGACCCCCCAAAGGACACCCCGGGGAACACGGTCGAACGCCTTCTCCAAATCCACAAAGCACATGTGGACAGGTTGGGCGAACTCCCATGAACCCTCGAGTATCCGATGGAGAGTATAGAGCTGGTCCAGTGTTCCGCGACCGGGACGAAAACCACACTGCTCCTCCTGAATCCGAGATTCGACCATCGGACGTAGCCTCCTCTCCAGTACCTTGGAGTAGACCTTACCGGGGAGGCTGAGGAGTGTGATCCCACGATAATTGGAACACACCCTCCGGTCCCCCTTCTTGTAGAAAGGGACCACCACCCCGGTCTGCCACCCCATTGGCACCGCCCCCGATCGCCACGCGATGTTGCAGAGACGTGTCAGCCAAGACAGTCCTACAACATCCAGAGACTTTAGATAGTCAGGACGGATCTCATCCACTCCCGGCGCCTTGCCACCATGGAGGCTGCCAACCACCTTGGTGACCTCGGCCAGGGAGATGGAAGTATCCGCCCCAACATCCTCAGCCTCTGCCTCCTGGACGGAGGACGTGACGGGGGGATTGAGGAGAACCTCGAAGTATTCCTTCCACCGCCCGACAATATCCCCAGTCGAGGTCAGCAGCCCTCCACCCGCACCATACACGGTGTTGGCAAAGAACTGCTTCCCCCTCCTGAGGCGCCGGACGGTTTGCCAAAACCTCTTCGAGGCCGACCGATAGTCATGCTCCATGGACTCTCCGAACTCCTCCCAGTCCCGGGTTTTTGCCTCTGCAACAGCCCGGGCCGCGGCACGTTTGGCCTGCCGGTACTGAACAGCTGCCTCAGGAGTCCCACGAACCATCATTGCTCGATAGGACTCCTTCTTCAGCCTGACGGCATCCCTTACTGCCGGTGTCCACCACCGGGTTCGGGGATTGCCGCCGGGACCAGCACCAGAGACCTTGCGACCACAGCTACGAGCCGCTGCATTGGCGATAGAGGAAGAGAACATGGTCCACTCGGACTCGATGTCCCCCTCCTCCGCCGGGACCTGGGAGAAGCTCTCCCGGAGGTGTGAGTTGAAAATCCGTCTGACAGGGGGCTCAGCAAGACGTTCCCAGCAAACCCTCACTACACGCTTGGGCCTGCCAGGTCTGACCGGCCTCCTGCCCTGCCAGCGGATCCAACTCACGACCAGGTGATGATCGGTTGACAGCTCCGCCCCTCTCTTCACCCGAGTGTCCGAAACACGCGGTCGAAGGTCAGATGATACGACTACAAAGTCGATCATCGAACTCCGGCCTAGGGTGTCCTGGTGCCACGTGCACTGATGGACACCCTTGTGCTCGAACATGGTGTTCGTGATGGACAGGCCGTGACTGGCACAGAAGTCCAACAACTGAACACCGCTCGGGTTCAGATCAGGGGGGCCGCTCTTCCCGATCACCCCTCTCCAAGTGTCACTGGCATTTCCCACATGGGCGTTGAAGTCCCCCAGGAGAATAACGGAGTCCCCGGGCGGTGCACTGTCCAGTACCCCTCCCAAGGACTCCAAGAAGGCCGGGTACTCTGCACTACCGTTAGGCCCGTAGGCCGTCACAACAGTGAGAGACTTGTCCCCCACCCGGAGGCGGAGGGACGCGACCCTCTCATTCACCGGGAAGAACTCCAACACGTGGCGGCTGAGATGGGGGGCAATGAGTATGGCCACCCCAGCTCGCCGCCTCTCCCCGCGGGAAACACCAGAAAAGTGGAGCGTCCAACCCCTCTCAAGGAGTTGGGGTCCAGAGCCCAAGCTGGGAGTGGAGGTGAGGCCGACTATCTCTAGTCGGTATCGCTCAACCTCCCCCACAAGCTCGGGCTCCTTCCCCCCCAGTGAGGTGACGTTCCACGTCCCAAGAGCCAGATGTTGGGTGTGTGGACTGGGTCGTGGAGGTCTCCGCCTTCGACTGCTGCCCAGTCCTCTCTGCACCTCGCCACCACGGACCCCTCTGCAGGTGGTGGGCCCACAGGAGGGACTGCCCACGCTAAGTCACGGTTCTCATTGTCGTGCTGTCCATGGTTGGCTTCGGACTGCGCTTCGTCTGACTCGTCACTTGAGACCTGTCTGCCATGGGAGACCCTACCAGGGGCATGAAGCCCCCGACAGCATAGCTCCCAGGATCATCCGAGTGCTCAAACTCCCCCACCACGTTAAGGTGGCAGTCCAAGGGGGGAGAAGACGGAGATGTGGATTTCAAACTTTTCTTAAAAACTAGCCAAACATGTTTAATCCCTTTCCCCAAACTGATTTTGACTGATCTACCTTGTTCTTTTGAAGTTTCAGCTCCTCCACATATTCATTTACATCACGAGCCATGATTTATGAATGCAGCCTCAGCTCTTGCCTTGTACCGCTCACAGGGAAATGCTCCTCTCCCCTCGAGGGCTTTTTCCTCAGATGACAAAATATAACCCACAATTCATTTATTTTATAGTCCACGCCGTTGATAGTCTTCTGGGCATATAGTATTTTCAACAATATCATCATGAAGTATCCACCCTACCACAGCCCAAAAGATCTGTATCTGACCTTTTCAATATTCAAATTATTTCTTATTTTGGAACTTGGGAAGTATTCATGATTTGGATAAAAGTGTTAACTTCATGATTCCATAATAATACATTGAAATGTATAGCTAACCAACTCCATCATTAATTTTACCCTAAAGATATTGCACATCTTTGTTCCATTGGTTTTCAATCCCGTTCACAAATGGCCTGTGAGGCTGCAAGTTTTCATTCCAATCAAACAAAAGGCAAGACAGGTTTATTTTATATCATAATTCATACACAAGGAAACAGGCACCACCATTTGTATCCAGTGAGTCCAGTCCTAAAGGAGACATAATATGCTAAATCAATGTTTTTGAACAAAACTTAGCATGTAGTTTTTATCTCTAATTTCTATCAAGAACATGTAACTCCAACCCTTCTGCCTAAAAGCTCCTTTTTCAGTCCTATAATAGTAATTGTACCACTACGAAATCACACTTAGATCTGTTGTATGCCTTTCAAAACAATTAGTTTTGTCTTCACACTTGTATTGTGTTTAAAATGTGTATTATCATTATATAATATTACAAAATATGAAATGATAAAATATGTAGTCTCTTTCTCATGTTTTATAGTTCTCCTTTAAGCTGAAGACTTGGAGAAAAGAGTGCCTGTAGCTCCACCAGTTTGAAGACCACTGAATAAAACAGTGCCCATTGTCTTTTTGGGTTTTTTGGGGGGTTTTTTGGATCTCATTAACCTTTCAGTTTCCATTATCGATTAACTCAGCCTTGACTCCTTCGACATTCCTCAGAACAAAAATGTTCTGGATTCTGTCCCTGTCGTCAGAAAACGCTAATGCTATAGATAATTGCTGTGGAGTAGCTGAGCCCGCACAGCCTATGCCATGTATTGAAGGGCGGCTTAGCAAACATAATTAAAAGACTGGAGATGGAGTGCATTATACCCAATTAAAAGTCAATTGCACTTAATAACAATGTTATCTGAGCCTATTGACCAGTGGGGGGCACTTGTTTCATCCTCTCTGCACTTGTCTCAGAGTCTGTCTGTGTTCTTGCCACCGAAGCAAGTTCCCCATCCACTTCTTCCAGGGTAAAAAATTATAAATATAAATTACACTTGCTTCATCCAGAGTTTGTGTGTGTGCAAAGATGATGTGAATCTTTTTTTCTCACACACACAAACTCTTGCTATTAATATTTGAGCAAAAGGGTTTATGATGCAAGTGCAAAAATCAATTGCTCGTGCCATCTCACTTTGCACACACGGATAAGCACCTGGGTTAACTTCAAAATAAAAAGTAAAATTATTCCAACTATTATAGTAATTATTTTGCTGTAATTCTTGTGTAGAAATATAGTGTTTTCATAAGATGTTTGTGAAATTATATAGTGAAACAACAGTTAACATTACTTAATACTTAATACTTGAACCATTGTTTTCCCAAACATTAGTTGGCGCCTGAAACATGTACAATTTGTAAATTCTAATCCCAATTCTTCTTGTACCGATGCCATCACATTACACTGGCTCAAGTCCCCATCATGTTACAAATGATCATTCCGTGCTATTACAGCGCCGCATTAAATCACCTAAACACAATCAGAGGTGCGCATTCGCCGCCGCATTGACAAATACAGGCGTCATGTAAGTTTGTGGTCAGGTAAACTCGCATTCAAATACTTTTTCGTCAAGCATGATTGAATCTACAAACAATGTAATATGCAATCGCTGTTGTCCCCACGTTCGCACACGGACATAGATGGATGGTTCCGTACTATGTAATTTAACCAGGCTGATTATTCGCAGGCTCCCACAACCTTTAATTACAATAGGTGTCCTTTATGACTAATTGTGTGTTTACTTTCAAGACCGTGGATGTTATTAATGTGCACAAAAGCTCAGTTTTCAACAAACATCATCCATAAGCTGCATTAATGGGAAAATGTATTTACAGTATGTTATTTTTACCAAGTCTGATCCATGACGAGCCTCATTTGAAAACCTTTTCTTGTTTCTGGTTGTAGGGCTTGCCGGGGCCTCCTGGTGAGAAGGGAGAGAATGGAGATGTGGGATCAATGGTGAGTACAAATTCTCTCCAAAGGAAGATTTGCTTAATTCAATATTTAGGTTATATTTTGCTTTTATGTTTGGGCCTGTACTAAAAGCTGAAGCTGCCTCTTCCCCATTGTCAATTGAATGTTATTGAATTACTTTTAGCTCAATTCAGCTTATTCTATCCAACGTCTATCGAAGCTGTATATTAAAATCTATTAGCCAGAGCAAGAGTTTAAAAGTATTGTCCAAACATATGTTGTTGGAATTGAATAGTATCCAGTAATAGGTGTATACAGTTGAAAAATAGAATATTATTCAGAGGTCCATGTTGAACTAATACATAACAGACTGATAACGTGCACAGTGCCATGCCTGGCAGATCCAAAATGATGAGTATTATGATAATGGACTGAAAACCATTGATGATCAAAAGGACAACAAACAAAGGCATGTGCATTTGTCAAATATGAGTCTGAATCCTGAACTTGTTTCACTTTTGAAGTTGAATTACAGAAATAAACTCGGGTTTCCAAGTATTCCCAGTTTCACCTATTTTTTTTTTTCACCTAATATTATAGTTTATAGTTTTGTGTGGACATTGGTTTACCCCTGCTGCCCTATAGCTCTGTGTCTTTATGGAGTATTTCCAATTTAGGGGTTAGGCAGTAAAGGTCTCTACTTCAGCCTACAACCCCTTTTCGATTTGGCCTTATATAGCACTAAAATGCTTAATATACATGATTTTTTTATATTTTTGTAATTGTAAAATGTAGAACATTTGAAAAAATATGACTTTAGATCTAATGTTTTTTTTTATGTCCTTAAAGACAACTTCTGCTGTGATTTAGGGAAATACACAAATTGATTTGATGCTAAACTCTTGGCCTAGCCCTGAAATCTTTAATAAAGCAAAGTCTTTACAAACTTGTGGTATTAGTAAATTATGGAAATGAGAGGAATACATTTCGACTGATTGAATTATTAAACATGAACTGAATTTTATTTTTTTTTTTTGAAGTACAAGTAGATTCTGTACTTTATGAAAGACCTAGAGGCATAAACACAAGCCTTAGGAAAATATTCCAAGTAAAACTGACAGTTATGAAGTATACCAATAATACCAATAACACCAAAAGCAATATTATGTTATCTACAGAATTAGAAACAACAACTCAGTGATTACATTTCCAGGTCTTGGAAAAATGCTAATAGTGTTTGACATTAGAGTAGAATAGAATAACTTCATTTTCCAACAAGCATAGTGATGACTGAAATGTATCTTGGATACATTACTTTGCAGACATTCAAATGTAAATTTTTTAGCATTAATGGGCAGAGGTCGACCCGTTCCCTTTGGCCCCATTGCATTTCCTGTGTTCAAACGGTTTGATTGTCTGATCTGTTGTTGAGGAATCCTCCAAGACAACTGCTGTTGTGATTTAGGACTTTACCAAAAGTATTTGAAAGAAATCTAAATACATGTATTAACTTTGTTTTATGATACGATCAGCTATTACTGATGGCTTTTTCCTGTAGTAACGTCCTTGGATTTCATATTTACTTTTTTGTTTAAAGGACACAATTCAAACATTTTTGGCTTGTTCGGTCTTGTTTTGACTACAACTTTTTTTGCGCAGGGTCGCGCTGGTCCACCCGGTTCCAGAGGTCCTCAAGGTTCCAGCGGAGCCACTGTTAGTCTCTTTCACAGTTTGCACTTTAGATTTCACCACCAGATTTCAACATATCAACATTTCAACAAATACTCACATTTGAAACTGTCAGTGCTCATAAACTCACTGTATTTTCCTGGCAGGGAGCTCAAGGCCCTCCTGGTGGTGTGGGTTCACCCGGAGCTGTTGGAGAGAAGGTAACCTCAGCTTTCTGAAAGACTGTTATATGAGCACAAGGACGAGTAAAAGGACATAGACATTGTTTTGGATATTTTGCATGCAACTATACAACATAGGTGTTTCCCTGTTAGCATCAGGTTCTAAACTGCAGCACTAGTAAGTATTTAATTATAGACAGCCACGGATTTGTATTTGGTGGTAATGTATCAGAGTCGATGGGTATGAACTGGAAACACTGTTATAATCATACAGCTGGCTATAGGACTGTGAAACACAACGTTATAAGTGTCATAGATGATTACAATTAGGAAAATTGTGCTATTGGGAAAAGACAGATAAGATTAACATTTGACCCCAATATGCGGACTTGTCTGGAATTCAATTATAGATGCAAATCACTGCTGTAATAGCTGTAATAACCACAGTGTCATCATATGTAAATTGTACCTCGTTAACTTGTCCCTTGCGAATCGTCAGGGAGAGACGGGAGAATCTGGCAACCCTGGTTCCCCTGGAGAGTCCGGCACTGGGGTAAGCAAAGGATCATTTTGTTCTGAGTGTAAACAGCATTTTGTATGCGTCTGCTGTAACCCGAGCACACCGTACCGTACTGTCTGTGCTGCATCTTTCCATATGTGGAGCTGTCAGGGGATTAAAGTTATCAAAGGAGATGTGCTTTTTATCTTTCTCAGTGACAGAAAAAGCTCTTAACAAAAGGGCACATAAAATGTCTATGGATGAATTCATATTAGCTTAAAAAAGAAAGCTCATAACTCAATTGGTTATGTAATCGTTATCCATATTCATGATGCTGTCCAAAGCATGATTTTAAATGATATACCAACCATTTGTTTTAATACTTTTACTTTTTAAATTGCCAAGTAAAAATGGTTTGTGTAATCTCACGCAAGATTAGTTAGCATCTCTCGCTTTCTTTATTAGACAATAACATACTTTACAATGACACTAGTGAAAATAGACAATACACTAAACAATGTATTAAATGCCAGAGAGACTGTGATGATATAAATGCAAGACCAGTGAAGGGTATAGGAAGATGTATAAATATGGACACTAACAGTAGATCGACTAGTTCTACAGATGGTCTAGCCTTACATGATATTTGACTAATATCATTGACATTTTTTTTTTTCAAATACTTTGCCATTGAGTTTTGGAGCCATACATTTTCATACATCTTCCATTTTTACATTATAAAGTTCACGGAAGAGTTGATGCCTGTCACAGTGTTGGTCTTAAGACTCTCTGCTCCATCGGCCCGGCTAACGATGGCCCCTCTAATTGCGTCTCCTGCTGAGTCATAGCCTCCTCTGCTTTGACCATTACTGCAGCTCTGATGATGGAGCAGTGAGAGCGCTATTTACTGTAATGACTATAGCTGCAATGTGGACTTAAAAGCAAAAGCATCCTGGACTTCATTTGGGGACCGGGAGGCAGGTACTTACGGTACTTACTGTCTGTTTGCTTCTATTTGCAGCACATGTGTGTATAAATAAATAGAGAAACAATGACAACATGGTTAAAACCTACATTGCCTAAATTTTCTGATGAGTATTTAATCAATTGGTTTTGCTGCTCAAAACTTGAAATCAATAAATTCTGGGTTGTCTCTCCTCTCTGCAGATGTGCCTTGCAACTCCATTTTAGATCTATCTATAGCTGTAAACCAAACTAGGAGAACTAGGGTTGACTAGGGTTGACTACAGGAAGAAGTTCTCACACTCTCATTCATCCACATTCACACCTTGACCCCTCGGACAAGCAGTACAGATTGTAGATCGATTTTGACGGAAAGTGTAATGTTATATGAATTGAAATACACAATATCCTAATTTTCAAATGGCAAAATGTCCTCACACAACGCAATATTCTCCGGGTCTCACTGTCTCACTGATTTTTGTGTGTGCAATGTTGCATGCTTTTTTTACAGCGTGCTTTTCTTGCATCAAGTGTAAACTCCAACAACATATGACTGCTAGTATAACATGAATTGCCTTTTATTCAAAGTCAGACGATATCTCCACAATCGCACTTCAACAGTTGTGAGTTCAGGTGTTTGAAAAGTGTAGAAAGTGTTTGATGAGAGTTTTGACAGCCTTAAAACACATAGCTGCGACTTCAAGGATTCCACTTATTGCGTGTTACTTTTAGAACGTAACCCCTGCAATAATTGAGGAGGCTGATATGAATCTTAAATGTTACATAATGGTGTAGCGTACAACTATAAAAATATTAATCTAGTTTTGAAGCAAATGCAGGGGCTGTTTTTTGGCAGTTTGAGGCAGGTCATAATAATATTCAGTTGGTAGCGGGAGGTCTTTTTGCAGTTAGAACATTTACCTAGTACCCATTTCACAGTACTTTTTAGATATTCCTATTTTGGAGCACATTATAATACAAAGGCCACACTTCAGGGACTTGTATAGCTCCAACTGGTTCTTTCTTGTCAGACAATGAACCACTTTGAGACATCTTCTACAACGAAAATTGTTACAGAACTGTGTTTATATTCATTCTTGGATCTATAAACATTCAGTGCACAGTCGAAGCTGCACAAACTCATAAAGCAATCAGATGAAACACATCTTTTTCAATAAAAATCAACACAACATAAAAACACCTAAATTGGAACGCCCCATTTCCTATTGAGCAGAAGTGTTCCTAAATCTACTTGTCAATAAATAATTTTAATTGTGTTGTTTGCTTCCAGCCATACCAAACTATATATCACGGGCCATTTAAATACAACACAGCTTCAGGGTTTGATGTAATAGCATGGTTAAAACCTGGGAATGTGTTTGCCTCAGGGCTCTAAAGGGGAGATTGGTGAGAAAGGAGAGACTGGCCCTCCTGGAGCTGCTGGCCCCGCTGGAGGAAGAGGACCGGGCGGAGATGACGGCCCCAAAGGAAACCCTGTACGGTCAACACCACACTCACTAATGCACCACATGACAAATGATATAAATGTAATTACTGTGCAGTTTAGACCAGTTTTATTATGGCTAAAGCAGGTTTAGAATACCTCAGAATCACTGCATTGTTGGATTGTGTCCAGATGTTCAAGATTAAGACACTGGAGACTGCAATAATAGAATAGTACATGATTCATTGTGATCCACTTTGTGATCCTTATACAAGCTGATTGCTTTAACGGCAATGTTTGGTTCTATCAATCTCAAGCGCTTTGGCGAAACAGATGACATTAATCTTTCTATTTAAATGAGGACCCATTAGGATTTTTTGGAGTTTTTTTAGGATCCTGCTCTACTAATTACCGATGCATTTGTTTATAAGAATGACAAAACAGACATCAACATACTGTATTGACATTTGGAGGAGATGAAGTTGCTTGAATGATTCTGGAGTTGGTGGCTGAATTGTTGACACCTTTTACCAATGTCTCAAGAGACTTCAAAGATGGTTGATTTAATCCACAAACCAATATGTGATGTTTGAGGCATGAGAATGTTTTTGATGCGTCTGCAAACTGTTCAATCCCTTCACTTGCACTTAGTTGTGGTGTGTGACATTGGCAACCTTGTTAGACTTGATCTTGTGGGCAAAATGTTTTAATACTTTTGTTTAAGTATTCCATAGTTTTAACAAAAAACCAAAGTTGTCTGACAATTTGTTAAAACACACATTATACAATGCAACTAACCAAAGTAGCAGTAGTCAATATATAATGATAAAATGACTGATGGAGCAACAGCACAAACAAATGCTTGTATTGAATCATGTGATGAGAAAACATTACACAAGAGAATAATATGGAGACTGATGATATGGAAGTGACAACATTATTGCAAATTTTTTTACATCACTTATATCTGTCGACTGACTATAATCCCCCTCCTCTTCTGTGAACAGGGCCCAGTTGGATTCCCTGGAGATCCTGGTCCCCCTGGAGAGCCAGGAGTCGCAGTAAGTGTACATCTTTCCTCTTAGAGTCAAGCTGTGAGATTGTATATCCGCATGTTCTAGTTGTATTGACTTGATTATAATGTCAAACTCATTTGCATGGGCTACCACTTAAATGTTTATTCATAGCTCTTGGGGCTGCGTTGTTAGGTTTTCTGATTAGACTGCTGAGCATGTAAAATATCACCACATGCGCCTGCAAACATTTCCATACAATCTAAATACATTTGAGGGGACATAGAGCATTAGAATTAGTAATAGTTTTAGCAAATGCTTGTCTGTCACTCACTCGGATCCTCTGCATAGAAATGTATGGATCTTAACATTTCTATTCTTTGTCTTTTTTTAGGGTCTTGATGGTTTGCCTGGTGACAAGGGAGATGACGGGGAAGGAGGTCAACCTGTAAGTTTAAATTATGTAATGCTCGTTCAAATTGTTGTATTTGTGTATTCCCGTAGATGTATTTTTTGTAGTCATTCACTCTTGGTTGTGGTTGAACAAGAAATATATAAACCTGTGCGCTTTCCGATTGAGTTGGCTGGATGACACTGTGACTACTGTGCTTATACAATGTATATGGAAGCTATTGTATATACTTTTATTGCTAAAAAGTTTTAGTGCTAAGGCAAAGTTGCGAGATGTCTTTGATTAAATAAATACAGTATAGAGTGTTAACTTTAGGCATTGAGCTGGAGTGTGTGAGTAGAGAAGTCTGCATGACCCAGCAATGGATAAAGCTGAAGAAAATGGATGGAAAAATACACAATTATAATAAGACCTACTTATCCTAACCTGAAGAAACTATTTGTTTAGTATGAATTCACTTTTGAAAAATATGTAAAATACACAATCACATGAACAGCACATAATGTGTCTGTTTTCACATGTTTAAGCATCAGGGGGAGAAAAATTTATGGATGGATGAATGGGTTTTGCTTCTGTCTGGTATTTTTCAAACATTCCCTCTTTGCCATTTTGATGTATTTTCTATGAACACGGCCCACCTTTGTAGTTAATTAAATTCAACATTCCATTTAGCCATCCACCACTTGGCACATTTGAATGAAACAGATGTAAGTGGCTTTCTGTGGTGTTTTTCAGGGTCCTCCTGGTCCATCTGGTGAAGCTGGAGTGCCGGGACCTCCTGGCAAACGGGTGAGTTCTGATTTTTGAGACACACTTCATTTTAGGAGCAGAGCGCAGACTACTTCACACCACTCTTGTACCAGCACCATCATTTTATCTGTGAGGCAACTGCACTAGAGACTATTCTCGGTGTTATATAGTGGTAAAAGAGGATATTAAGTTACACTGAAAATAATACATATGTTTTAAAACAAGATCATTTGGTTTAATGATAATAATGCATCAGGTTAATTATCTCTTTTTTGGACGCTCAAAGACGCTTCATGTTTGAGTAATCATTCACTCCATGATAAACTATCACTGCAGCTACAGCTGCCCTGGGACCCAACAACAATGCATATAGAAATTAGTGATTTAATGTAATTTATTACATTTAAATTGTGGTTTAAAGTTACGTTCTTAAGCTTGAATGTCTGCAAATGAATATATCAATAATTATAGTACTTTTAGAGTTAACTCGAACTTGTATCAGACACAACTCAGACATGCAAATGATGGACTTGTTTTCAAACTAAATCAAATGCGTTGTCGGTCACAGCATATTTCCTATTTCTATTATACACCATACATAACACTGTCATTTTGAAGGGCCAGTTCAGAACATTCCTGCCCATTATTCTCGACCATTAAACTGAGGTCGGGTACAGTGAACACAGATCTGCTCCTCTGCTGGACACGATCGACGTATCGACAGCTGGACTGACAGTAAAAGGGCTGGGGATAATCTCACTGAAGTGAAGTTGTCACTTTGGGTCCTGAATGGTTCTTTCTATCACATGGATATCTGGGTTTAGTGTATGGTATAACAGTAATAAATGTGCAGGTTGGCTCTGCTTGCACATGCTCCTATCTGCATTATCGATTTTGTTACATTACACAAGCTGGCCCCTTCCCGTGGTAATATAATACTTGTTTTCTGGTTCACTATTTATCATATATTTATGGATTCTTCGAAATCCTTAAGGATTCCTTTTCCACAATAACATACATTCATTTGAATTCAGCCGATGTTCATGTTATTATTATTAATTGTCGTTTAATTGGACAGTGGGTGGACAGTGCACAGAAACATGAATCATAAAACAGAAGAGATTCTGTGCACAAGCATAAACTATAATCTAAATTACACCTGGAGTCCTTGGGCAGGTGGTATTTACAAATGTCATTAATAACCTTAAAATCCATATCATGATAGATGAAGATATTGTGATTCAAATGTGTCTTCTGTGCTGTAGACAACCATGATATTAAAGAGATATTATAATTCATATGACAAGTTAATCTTTTAAAACTTCCCATCCCACTTCCCAAACTCCCCATCGATCACATTACACAGACACATACTTCTACGTCTGCACATCCACTACAAGTTCATAGATGTTAAATAGGCTAAAGTATAAATGATTCAAAGAAAATGCTAATATAGCTCTGTCATTTTATGCTTAATGTCTTTCTGCTTTTGAATGTGATATTTTTTTATTCTTCTCCTTTTGTGTCTTGATTTGAATGTGCTAACATCTTTAAAGTATGCTGGTAACTCCAATTATTTTTTCCCTTTCCTTTTATCACACCCAGACTCCAGATTCATCTCAATCTTTCATCACATTGTATTTCTATATTTACGCTTGACATCGTCTGGCCAGACATGGATATTTTTGTATTTGAAGTGATAATCATTACACAAATCCGAGGGAAAAACGCAGACAAGTGTGGCTAAATCATTCCACTGTCTCATTTCCAAGTTTCACAGATAAAACCCGTGTTTTTGCATTCAGTCCTGGTCTCTTCATTATACATTAAAAAACACTGCTTTCGCATCCCACAGTTTTGTATTCTGCTGGATGTTCGAGTGACAAGAGCTACACAACAAATTAGTCCTTGGGTTAGCGCCCATATCGCAGCGTGGTTTTACTGATGCTGTGCTGAACAATACACTGCACACATCTGGTCCTCAGAGGCATTTACACAATATAATAGTCAAGTCCCGCGTTTTATGCAAAACTCACCGACAAATTAGTCACAGGAATTATACTTCACCAGCTTTATCCTTTGTAGTACCGAAAATGCAATTCATACTATTCTTTTTTTGTTATTTATAAGACCAAGACATTTATTGAACTCATAAACCTCGAGTAAGTAACTTTTGAAACTGCAACAAAAATTGCAAAATATTCCATGTCACTCGTTCCTGGCTCTGAAACTGTTCTGTCACTAGTTTTCACCTGCATGTATTTCGGATCTTCATCTTAGGTTGGGGACCTAACCACAAGGAAGAGAAATAGAATCAATGTCACTATAGTTTCACAACAGTTTTCTTAAACAGTTTTCAACATTTTGCACATGTATGTTTTGCCTCTGTCACATATAAGATAAGATAAGATAAATGTTATTGATCACACAGAGGAGAAAGTTACACCATATTCACATCAAGAAATGTATTCAGCAGTTAAAGATTCAAGAATTTATTTGCCATTTGCTGTACAAACCAACATGGATAAAATGTGCAAGACTACTACCCCAGTGTGCACCAGAAGCTGCAGTTTGTAACAGACATAGAAATGTAATCTGTTTCTGGCAGTTTTCAATGGTTTTCATCTGCATATATTGTTGGCCCCTGCCACATTTTTAAATCAGCCTCCCTCTTTCAGCCAATCAGCTCTCAGTATGTAAAGTATTTTAACATGTTTTTGATTAAGATGAAAGCAGCATGTGGTCTGATCTGTTTCACAAAAGTTACTTTTTCTGTTCTGAGACAAAAGACATGCGTGTATAAGAGCAAAAGTAAAAGCCAGGTACCCCAGCTTTAATGCACTTTGAAATCAGATTGTACTTCCCCATTTACCAACCCACCCTCTGTCACTCGATACCTTTTATAGCCATTGATTTTTGTGCATGAAAAGTTAGCGCTGACACGAGTTCCCAGCACGTGCCGATAGCCCCTCTATTGAGACGCGGGGCCTTTGTCGACTGGGAGCGCTGGACCGTGCTCTTCTATGACGGTTAACGACAATCCACTCACGGGGGTCTGACCAGAGGCAGAGAAGCTTTTAGCGCTGAATATGGGACACATCATCGGCTGTAACAATTTTGCTGCTGCTGCTTGTCCAAGGTCACAATATGTTTATTTAATGCAGTTTTTTCGGCCTCTTGTCTCTGAATGTGGGAATATTTACACGTTTTCTCTTCATTTGACACAATTGAGATGAGAAAAAACCAGAATGCACAAACCTAAGGTGTCCGTATTATCCACATTGTTCTAGACAAGATGATATGCCAAACTTTGAAAGCAATCCTTCTGGAAAAGGTAACCCAAACCAGTAAAGTTATATACATTTCCAATTTTAATATGTAAATAAACTATTGTAATGTATGCATTTCTTGTCTTGCAGTAGTGACACCTTTTAATTATAATATTAGCAGAACCCATAGTTGCAATCCTAATACAATACAATTACAATACAATACAATTTATTCTTGTATAGCCCTAGGTCACAACAGAAGTCATCTCAGAGGACTTAACAAAACCATTGAAATCACCAACACAGGTCAGAGAATCAACAGTTAAAACACATGAAGAATATAAAGCACACACAGAAGAAAATGTCCATACATGTTGTAGAATGCTAAAGTGTCCTGATCATCACCAATCCTTTCTGTTGGACACTAACTGTCCAACAAGACCCTCCTGCATCGACAAGGAAAAACTCTTAAAAAACCCAGTGGGAAAAAGTGAGAAACCTTGGGGAGAACTAGGGAAACCCACAGGGAGGGAGACCCATATGAGTAAGGGATCCGCTCCTCCGGACGGACAGGCTAATGATCTAGGACCTAAGCTAGCTACAGAACGTGGACCAGTGGCCGCTGAACGTGGACAGGTCCGGTGCAGGACCGAAGCACTCCCAGGCGGGTCGGGCGGGGCAGTCCGCAGGTGTAGATGGAAGAGGCCAGGCTCAGAGATCCCGTCATCGTACCATGAAACAGACAATGGGACAACGGGTGAATAGCAATGAACAAACTACAGTCAGAATCCTAAAAATGCTAAACAGATAAAGTAGGAAGGAGGAGAGGATAGTGCTCAAGTTACCATACTTCTCCCAGCAAACTGACTCCCTATGCAGCTTGACTGACACTCTGAGGAGTTTAACCTTCTCCGAGTCTTACCTTCCTAGCCATATGCTAAACTAAAGAGGACTGTTTTAAACCTAGCCTTGAATAAAGAATAACATACAGCATAATATATAACATAATATACAACATAACACAATACATTATTGAATAATATATAACATAATATATAACATAATACAGCATATATATATAATATATACACTACATATTATATATTACCTAATTATATGCTAAATTAAAGTAAAGTGCTTTAAGCCTGGCCTTGAATGTGGAGACCGTATCTGCTTCCTTAACATAAATGGGAAGCTGATTCCACAGTATTACCAATATAATAGTAGTAATAGTATAATACCAATATTCTGTCTCACTATTTACATTTTAAATTGGAAAATTAAAAGTCCATTTATTTCTGTATTTCAATTTACAATGTGAAACTAATAAATTAGTAAAATATTTTGAATATGGACTGTAAGCCATAATCATCAACATTACACCAGACACTTTGCTCTGGGTCTATATCAGGGGTGGCCAACCCGCGGCTCGTGAGCCGCATGCGGCTCTTTGGCTGGTTCCGTGCGGCTCTCGGGCTTTCACACGACAAGCGTCAAAAACGCCTCGGTGGTGGTGCTGCCTTTCATTCTCTATGTAGTTCTGACCCATAGTAAAGGCGGACTCCACTCCACTAGCCAGGCCGCCAAAACAATCTGACGTCGGCGAACGTCAATTCTGATTGGTCAGATGCGCTGTCAATCACTCTTCAGCCTCAGCTGTTGCAAATATCATAACAAACAACACGTTGCCTCGACCCATGACGTCCGTACGGAAAACAATTCCTTGGTCGCTGGATGAGGGCAACACCTTCCTCAGTTTGAAGAGAGGAC